CTCTCTCTCTCTCTCTCTCTCTCTCTCTCTCTCTCTCTCTCTCTCTCTCTCTCTCTCTCTCTCTCTCTCTCTCTCTCTCTCTCTCTCTCTCTCTCTCTCTCTCTCTCTCTCTCTCTCTCTCTCTCTCTCTCTCTCTCTCTCTCTCTCTCTCTCTCTCTCTCTCTCTCTCTCTCTCTCTCTCTCTCTCTCTCTCTCTCTCTCTCTCTCTCTCTCTCTCTCTCTCTCTCTCTCTCTCTCTCTCTCTCTCTCTCTCTCTGTCTTTTTCTTCATTCACACACACGCTTGACGGCAGCCCAAACGTGCGTGAGAGTGTGTGTGTGTGGCCGCACTGCTCTGTTCCTCCTTGGCTCGGCTCGCACCTGGCTCCTGCTGCGGTCTGACCCACACTTTGCTCTGGCTCTTCGCTCTCACACTCTCTCTCTGTATCCCTCTTTGAAACGCAACAGCCAGTAGCAGTAGTTTTTCATATCACCTGTCATCATGTCGGTCGTTCAAGGCAACCCCGCAAAGGAAGAGGTGCGTGTCCTGTTGCTTGCCCATGAGTCCTGGCCCCACAGGACCGGCAGCCCTGAGCTGCTCTGCCCAGCCCTGTTGTTGTTGATGATGATTCAAGAGGCGTCAATTTGCTCCTATTCTACTCCCTGAGCAGCATGCCACTTGCCGCTTCATGCCCTCTGGCACGGGGCCCCGACTATCTGCGCTTCCTCATGCACATGCACGCTGCTCCGGCTTGCCACAGCTCTTCGAAACCGTGTTTGAGAGGATAGCCGGTCTCTCTGAGATGTTCCCCGAGAGCGTGCGCAACGCCGCTGATCGCGTGTCCTCCCTCGCCACCACCGCGGTAAGCGCTCGCCCTCCCCTGCGTCTCACTGGATGACTTCAAACGCACGGTGTGAACGTGATACCTGTGGTTCCACCCACTGACAGCTCATGGCCCGGAATCTCCCCTCGTTCTGCAGGTTGGCACGACCTTCAACTTGGGTGGCAAGTTTGTCTGGGTGGTGGCCACTTCGGCCCTCGTCATGTTTGTCCCCGTGGTGTACGAGGCGGATCAGGCACGTTGGACTTACCTGCCGATGCTGAACCCCTGTGTTGACCATGCGCGCACGTCGCCTCGTAGCCCTGCGTTCCAAATCAAATCAGGGCTCACCATGTGTCATGACGCTACAGGACCAATACCAGGAGCAGATGCGTCAACAGCAGCAACAGATTGTGCGTTGACGCTCGCATCGTTTGCCGCCTTGAACGCCTGCCCCCACCAGTGTTGGGTTTTCTCACCGTGCCATGCTTGGCTTGCATAGATGATGGGCAAGGCCCCCATGGGTGGTCCCAACTACCAAGGCCCTGCCGTACCCGGTCCGTGCCTATCCTCTGCTTCTCGCTCTGCCCCACCCCGCAGATATCGTCCCAATACAAATTACTTACGTGGCCCGTTATTCGTCGTAGGCATGGCGCCCGCTCCTCAGCTTGCCTAAAGAAATCGCCTTTGAGAAAGAAATGTCATTCTCTTCTTTCCAGTGCCCCCTTTTCTTTTCTTTTTTGCTCTCCACAGGCCACTTGTTCCCCTAGCCCTGCCTGTGTTTTGTCGGGAGTGAGGCAAGGCTAGGGTAGGGCGAGGCCACTATATCTTCCCTTCTTCCTTTTTTTTTTTTCTTCTTTGCTCCCTTCATTCCTTCATTTTGTTGCGCCTTGCTTGGCGACTTGAGTCGTAGCCCGTGTCAAAGTGCACAACCGGCTAACCTTGTCATGGCACGGCCTCGTTGTGTCCTGTCCCTTGACTTTTGAATTGACTTTGGACCGGCGTGTTGATCAAGTCCGCCTTTCACCGACATTGATATACATCTGAGCGTCATTATTGACCATTGTCATAATGATGCGAGGATTTCTGCTTTTCAGATCGCGAGTTGACCCAGGCAAGATTCACACAAACGAGCTTAATGGCCAGCGACCACATTGAAAGCGGGACCGTTGGCATTCTTTGAATTTTATGGCCTTTTCCTTCTCTTTTTTTTTTTTCTTTTTTCTTCAAGGCTCGACTCAAAAAAGCAGTTTGAGTGCTCGAATGGGTGGAAGCACGGATTTGACGCTAACACTCTCTTGCACGGGTTGACCCTCAACCTTGTAAAATTTCCACGCACAATGCCAAAACAGGCAAAGCAGCGATGGTATGATCATAGCCGACACGACACAGTCAAATTCTGTAACAACTGATTTGGAGCGTAGAACTGCGACACTGATGGTGGTTGAATTTCGGAAGTGTCTGAAGATGTGCTTTTTGTGATTTGACTTCGAATGGGCGGAGCGGTATCGCGGCCTCGATACTCGCAGAGTATACAAGAGCCCGGTACAGCACGCGCTGTCTCAATTACATCAGGGTGTAAGTACAAAGTGAACCTCAAAGAGTTGTGTCAAAATGAGGCCAATAGATAGTTGGGTGGCTCTCGAACAGAAAAAAAAGGAAAAGACTACGCATGTTGCCTCAAGTCGGGGGCACAGCGGCTCGAAATTAGGCCGAAGATGTCGTTGCCACTGTTTCACTGCTACTAGTGGAAGTGCACGACGAGGTCCGTTTGCGCGACGGTAGTTGATCGGCCAGGAAGCGGCGAAATGAGTCCATCATGTAGCGGTGCGGTCCGGGCAGGCAGGCAAACTCAACACTGTTATCCACGTCTGCACGATTCAACTCCACCGCCGTCAGCGGTCGATCTGAGGTTTCATTCCCTCCATCGTGACCGTCGTGTGTGGCAGAAACCAGGGTGATGTGTGCCACGCGCTTGGGGTCGGGTTGGCCGTTGTCATCTGTTCGGTCAGACTGCCTGAGCAGATTCGAATCCAGCGAGTTCATGATGGCGTGCCACGGTTCATCAGTCGGGCTGGCGGCGCGCTTGGCTGTCAGACGGGCCACATCCGTCAAAGCTGCGTGAAAGCGAGCAGCTATGGGGTTTGCTTGGCAAGTGTCCGATGGCAGATCAGACTCTGGCGTCACCGGTTTGATAGGTGGAACCGTCAAGTTCAGACCCGGACAGCGTTGAGGTAGGAGGTGAATCATCTGGTAGTACTCCTGGGGCAAGAGCTTCATGCAGCGGCCTTGGGGCCAGATGCGTACGCAGCGGTCTGCCGGCACGGCATTGTTGGCCATGATGGCCAACTGCATCCACTTGTTGACTAGATAACCCGGAAACTCCTGCGCAAACCAGCCCAGCATGCCCGTGTTTTGGTGTGCTTTGAGCATGGCCAAGTAGTGGTCGCGGGTGACAAAAATCACGTGTAAAGGGGTTCGTTTCGGTTGATGGGCTGGTTGATCATCTTCCTTGCGGGCTGGTTGGGGCATGGCCTTTGTGGGTGAGGTGTGAAGGGTCAGAACGAAGCAGACGCGGTCTTGGGCCTGGGAATAAGCCGCTATGGACACGGTAACATTTAAGGCAAGAAGGTGAGCTTTTGTGCAGTTTGCGCATCACAGCTGCATTGGCGTGGACGCACCCTGCTTGGGCTGCTGGCTCTTGTGGTCATGATCCATATCTGTCGTGAAGGTCCGCGCGTCTTGGCGGGAGGGAAGGATACCAGCTATGTTGGCAAGCCCTGGCGTAAGCAATTGGGGTAGACTGGCATGTCGCGTCGTTGAGGAGACTGCTTGGTGGATTCAAAACTTACGAGCAGCGACAAAGTCATGAATGGTGATGCAGCGTTGCACCTCCAGCTGAGCTGGAGGTAAGGGTTGCAGGAGCACCTCGCGACTCCAGGCCAGACCAAGGCCCAAGCCTCTCGTCAAGCGCTCATGCTCCAGGAACGCGGCTACGCTTGTCACATTGACAACAGTTTGATGCGTGCCAACATCCCTTGGCGCACGAGCCCGTCCGGTGGCTCGAGTCGTCAAGCCATGACGATCTGTTGCGCGAGCGGTGGCGGGGCGGGTGGGAAGCGCCAATCCAGCAGCCGGCGCCACTGCTGTCTCGTGTTTCGTCGGGGTGGGCAGGGTGGAGGGCAAGGCATTTCCCAGCTCGCCAGGCTGCCCAGCAGAGATGAGTTGTTGTGCTGGTCGGGAGCGGTGGCTCTTGCGTGAGGAAGGGGTCAAGTCTATTATAAACATCATTCATGACGGCGGGGCGACGAGCACATTTGTTGAGTCAAAGAGGCACAACGGAAGGTCGGCTGGCATTGGCTGAGATACACAGGGGAGGTCATGACGTACCAGACCGATATAATCGTCTTCTCGTGGCCGCGGTGGAAGGGTGTGAGGATCGATGGAGCGAGTGGTGAAAAGCCATTGGTCTCGCTTGCAGCTCGAACTGTTGCATCTGTGTGGGACGACGGGAGATGAGCCGACGCTTTGCGCTTTGACATGAGCCATGGCTAGAAAAGCCAAAGTGCACACGGCGTACGTTTGGTTGTGATGTGCTCTGAAACAGATGCGCTGCCACGCTCAGAGGTCGGCCCGCCCAGCGTCAAGCGTAAAGATCGGGAAGCGTTTTGATTGTGACTATGTTCAGTCGACCAGCATAGAGTTTGATGAGTGAGACCATAGTCTGACGCGACGCACGTGAGATCCAACTGGCTTGTCCAAACGAGGCAGCCAGCCAAACACGCCCTATAGCCTGGCTTGAATTGGAGCTCATGTCCGGGTGCTGTGATGTGCGCCCATAAGAATCAGCCAGCCATAAAAAGCACGACGTACGTGAATGTCAGACTGATATTAATTTTCCACACGGCGCTTGAAGAATCTCTCTCTCTTTCGCTTGAGAGAGCGCGAAAAAGAGAGAGAGAGGGCGGGTGCCGTCTGCTATCTCTCTCTGTCGCTCTGGATGAGGGCCTTCTGTTCTGTCACGAAGGGGAAGAAGGGGGAAGAAGACCTGATGGGAGGTGTGCGGCCCTCTGTGTGGCAGCAAGGGGCGGCGAGGTCAACGCCGGGAGCTGGAATGGCAATAAGCAGCATGGGAGGACCACCAACAATCAAGAGGGCGAGCGAGTGTACGAGGCGAGGAGGGGAAAGGCGGGGAGCATGGGCAGCAAACCTGCGGGAAGGGAAAATGCGGAACCAGTGCATAAGGTGGATGGAAAGACACGGAGAGAGAGAGACAGAGAGAGAGAGAGAGACGCCGTGTGGTTGCAGAGAGATAGAGTAGCGGCCAGGACCACGGCACCCGACCTGCAAGCCTGTTTCTTGGTTTCTGCCGAGGTGCAGAGTTTGTCGGGTGTTTGGATGTGTGGATGTATTGGGTGTGGTGGGTTAAGCGTGAGTATAGCTGTTGTGGCGTGTGCGGGTGTGGCCGTGGCCGAAACCTCGGACTCAAAAGGGGGACACTCACACAGAACCATCGTCACACACGGGCTGTTGCTTAGGTGTCAAGTGTCCACCTCTCTCCTGGGTCGAGGTCGCGGATTGGACCTGTGATGTAGTCGTGGTTGGTTGGATGGGTTGGATTGGTTATGGTTTTGGTGGACCACTTGTCTTGCTCACCCAACCAGAACCTCAGAAAGGGTGTGTTGTGGCGTGGCGTGACGATGTGGTTGTGCTTAAGGGGGTAGGGGAGGGGGAGGAATGGGGTACCTCCCTCTGCTGGCTGGTTGGTCGTTCATTTTGCATTGTCTGGGGTGGGTGTGAGATATGGCAGCGCCTGATGGGAGCAGGGAAAAGAACTCTCGCCGTACTGACGATCATTCGAGCTGCGCCTATGTGCTTCCCTCACACTCACATACACACACACACACACACACACACACACACACACACACACACACACACACACACACACACACACACACACACACACACACACACACACACACACACACACACACACACACACACACACACACACACACACACACACACACACACACACACACACACACACACTACACACACACATACACACATACACACACATACACACACATACATACACACACACTTGGGAGTGTGTGGCCAACTTCGCTGGTGCAGCCAGTTGGAGGCCTGAGCAACAGCTTTCCAACCTTGCAGCTTGACTCTGAATTAAGTGCTCGTCGAGAAGATGCCAAGAAAGTTGGGGACCCGCCTTACTTGTGTGTGCGTGCTCATGACGCATCCGGTGCGGTCTCGAGTCGAGAGCCGTGCTGGGAAAGAAGAGAGTGGCCATTAGATGGGGCTGCGAAACCACCCCTGGCAAGACGTGACTGGCATCTTTCTGTTTGTTTGCCAAAGCCAACAACGAGGGGCAACGGCCGCCAGGGATTTGAGCGTGGCAGGGTGATCTGATTCCGAACGGAAATGTGTCATCCCATGCCTACGACGTCATGTGTGCCATGTGCAAACAGCATTTTTATGGGTCCAGTGTTATCGCGCACGGCCACAAACACACTTGCAACACCATTTCGCAAAATACGAAACTGAAGGAGAAGACTCTAGGAGACTTGAAAAGACTAAATGTGTCACGGGTGAGAATATACACTACGGTTGCTGTTGCAGCTGGCGCTAACCGTCTCGGGTGTGCAGCTTAGGGGCAAGACCTTGCCTTCGGTGACACTCCACGACTGTGGAGCATTCCAGCGGCGTTGGTGTTGACAGCATCGGGCACGGTGTAGTGAGCTGAAGTGGCTCGTGGTTGGTGGGTGGCTTGCACACGCGTTTTTGGGGCAGGAGTGGCATGATCCGACTCGGCAAGACATGTCGCGCGCCCATTCAGACCAAAATCCAGACGAGCCGATCGTCAGACAGAGTCCCTGCCGCCAGGAAAAATGGACGACGCGGGTGTGACATGTTGGGTATTCACAAGCAGTTGCGGGAGCCCTGTGCTCTTTTTCCGGGAGGCGGGGTTATCCTGCTCAGCTCCATTGCTTCTTGCCACCATTCACGGTCGGCACACGACTGACACCCAGCCAAAGAAGGTTGATCCAGATCGTAGATGGGTTTGTTGTTTGGCTGTCGTGGTCGTTGGATGCACTAGGCTTGGAATGGGGCCTCTCAAGAAAATTGGTCTCGATGCGTCGCGTCTCACACGTTTGGCACACTCGTTCTGACCTGATTTGGTTCATGATGAGGCCATCGGATAATCTGACAAGGCGCGCAGGGCCAGGGCAGCATGTTGTCATACCGAGTAACTGGCATTCTTGTCCTGACAGGACTAGGTTGAATTAGGACTGCATCCCTCACTATGAATGGAACTCTGCGTGCTGGCGTTCCTCGTATCTAACATGTGTCGTACACAACCTCATGTGCCCAACAAATTCGTCTTTCGGTGCTAATCACAGAACAACTCTCTTGTGCGGAAAATAAGGCGCAGTCAAGAGCTCAATTCACGGGCTTGCCACGGGACAGACAACGAGCAATAGATGCCAAACGCTGGGGGAGCCAGGGTCGAGGCAAAATCGACAACAACGACAACAAGAAACGACGACAACAAGAAAAAAAAATCCAACGAGCGGGTCCGGCCGTGCGAAGGAAAGGAGAATAGGGAAAAAAAGCAAAGAAGGAAAATCTCCTGTGCACCCACGCACAGACACACGGCTGCTCCGGCGCCGAGTCAACATGGAGTCACGGGCAACCGGGCATCGCGGCTCACCGTCAGGCGGGCTACTCGACCAAGGACAACTCACAAACCCCACCAAGACAAACGGCCCACATCCATGAAGAGGCACAGACGGGGGCGTCACCACAAGCCAAAGACAGGTAGACACGGCCCAGAGGCATTGCAAGGCCTGCAACCGAGTCAACGGTCTTCGCTCCTGACGGTGAGGGACCAGTCGAGCCGAGCCGCACGAGGGCACAGGCGATCACGCCGCTTAGACGTAGAGGTTGCCGCCCAGAGACTCGTAGCTCTCGTGGAAGTTGAGGCAGCATGAAGAGATAAAGGTGGCAAAGGACAGGACGGCACCAGTGCAAGCCACGAAAAAGCCATCCGTGTACTTGTACTTGTGATCATCGCCCAGGCTCTTGTCCAGGCTGTCGGTCTTGTATTCGTACATGCAAATGGCCGTGGCCACAATGCATGCGGTGGCCAGAAACTGCAGAATGATGACGGGGCCCTTGCTCTTGCAGCACATGGGCAAATAGCTGAGCACGGCAAAGAGACCGCCGAGAATCAAGCCAGCCACAGCACCATCACGCTCAGCACCCTTGGGAGTCTTGATGTCGTTCGTAATGTTGGAAAGCTTCATGTCCTTGCCCAGCTCCGTGCAGCCCTCGGGCGTGCAGATTTGCCACAGGCTCACTTGCAGCGTCTTGCCCTCATACTTGGCCTCGGCCCTATCCCCGTGTTCCAGCGCATCAGAGATGCAGCACACATGTGTGAGAAAGACGAATCGCGCAAGTGTATTGCTTCTTGCGAGAAAATCACAAAGTTACAAAAGCAGCAGGAATTTAAAAAACAAACAAACACGTCCTTCAACGAGTCAGCACACGACAAGTCTACACTCTTGTAAGGAACAAAGAGGCAGCACTGACAAAACCCAAAACTGGTGCGAGACGTCTGGAGCCATCGGCCCCGCCATTATGGCGGTCGCAGCTTGACGACCATCACATTATTTCTTTGTTCAACCCAACTGCACTACGACAACGACAAAAGAAGAAAAAAACTTGCAGCGATCAACTCACCACTTGATGGAGGGAATAAGAGGCACCACGCAGGCACCAATGACCAACAAGGTCAGGATGGAGACGAGCCTGTTCGTACGGAAGACGTTTCAATGAGGCGCTGCCTTCGGAGCAAGCAAAAAAAAAAAAAAAAAGCCTTGGAGTTCAAATGACACGCGCAGAGGGCATCTCGAGTCCGACACTTACACGCCGTTGCGAACACAGCCCATGATGTCGATGACACGGTACAGAGAGGACCGAAAGGATCAAGTTGAAGCTGTGCTAAGAAGGTACCTTGGTACAAACCCCAAGACAAGAGAACAGGCGATCAACCAAATGCAACCAAAAGCCGCTGCCGTCGATCACGTCAGCAATAAAAATGCAGGTGCTTGTGCCGCTTTACCTTTACCTTATTAGAGTGTGTGTGTGTGTGTGTGTGTGTGTGTGTGTGTGTGTGTGTGTGTGTGTGTGTGTGTGTGTGTGTGTGTGTGTGTGCCTTACATGTGCGCAGCCGTACGGAGACTGAGAGACTAGAGGAAGACTCGAGAAGATTGGAGGAGATTAAAGACGCATGTACCTGATATTAGAGGAGACTGGGAGACTGAGAGTCCAGGAAGAGACTGGGAGACTGCAGGAACCGAAACGCCATCGGCACAAGACCTATGGGAAGGCACAGAGCAGTCAACGTGGGGTGCCGTCGAGTCGCTTGGCCATTGGGCTGCTCATGAATGGTGGCCAAGTTGAGACAATGCTCGCATTAGTTGCATTAGCTGCCCACTTTGCATCCAGCCCAAGGGTTATGGGTAGATGATTTTCAGCTACGGGTGGGTGGCCCTGGGGTGTTTTGTTGAGGGTGGGTGACCACTGGCAGGAGCTGGGTCTGGTGAGGATGGGAGATTGCCGAGGTCATTTTCAAGTCAATTGCACACAGTTTGGACGGCTACTTGGCCTTGCCCGACCCCTTCTTGCCCTTGCTTTTGCCGTCATCGATACTGCGGTTGCCCGCAGCTAGCACCGCGCGGAGCACGCCACAAACAACGCGTGAGCAAAAGATACAAAGGTACGCCACACCTGGATCATGCTGCAACATGTCAACGGCCGTCCTTACCTCTGGCTGCATTCTTGGCGGCAGGCGGATAACGCTTGACAAAGGCAGCAATGTCAAATTTGCGCTTGCACCCCTTGTAATTCATGTATCTGTTTGCAGCCATCCAGCATGGGGTGGATACAACACATGAGCTCTGCATCTGCAGCGCCATCGGGCTAGCGCCAGGCACAATCTTCCTCGAGTACCCAACATCCCCTCCAACCCCTGCTTCTGCGGCCACCCGCTGAGCTAGCCAGACCGAATTTTGCCGAAAACGGGGCGCTCGCCCCAGCCCTGGTCATGAATGCCACAAATGGACCACATGCATCCAACATAGCCTACACGCAGAGTCAGAGGGTGAGAAGGCTGCTAAAATTGCCAACAGGGCCGCTCGCACAGGCGCCCACGCTCCACAGGTGTCAGAGCCCGCAATTATCCACCATTGCCCAGTCCCAAACACGGGCCGATGGTCGCGGCGAGACTACCATCGCCTTGGCATCAAAACGTACCGTTGGGATCACGCCCATCCAGCTCGTATTTGTCGTTCAGGTAGATGGCATCTTCTAGGGCCTTTTCTGGGGACTCAGTCCACTCGAGGATCTTCTTGGCCCAGTACATGCGCAAAAACCCGTGCATCTTGCCCTCCTGCACCAGTTGCAGTTGCGAAGCATTCCACAAGTCGTCGGCCGTTTCCGCGTTTTCCAACTGCTTGCGCGTGTACAGATGCTCCCTGCCAATGCGGCGGCGCGGATGAGAACCAGCAGGCCCGTGAACGGCCGAGCGCGAGGCTTGCCAGCTTCCCGGAAGCCGTGCACGCGTTGACGCAGCTCACCGTTTGTCCTTGCTATGTACATCCAGAGTCTCCTGTGCCCACGCCGAGGCGCCTTCCACCGAGTCGTAGCGGTGGTTGTAAAAGCAAAAATTGTCACTCAACTCCCGACGCACCACCGCCTCCTCAATGTAGGCCTTGACTCCTTCGGCGTATTTGCCCCGCTGCTTGCTGCGCAGCTCCAAGACCACCCGCTGCACAGAGATCTATCACGAACAGATCAGAACTAAAAGTAAGCTTGGGCGCGCGAGGGCAGCCAGGTTTGACTTGTGACCAATAATAATGCCAGCCGACCTGTCCAAAGTGGTAATAGGGGGAGAGATTGGACAGGGCGTCCAGATTGGGATCGTTACGATCATCGGCATAGCGATGTAGGCGCTCATTGATAAATTCCTCAAGCATCTTCATGCCACCCTCGTAGCCCGGTTTGAGCCAGTCCACCTCCTTGACGTCCCAGTTGATCTCAAGGCTCTCGCGGGCCTTTTTCCAGTCCACCGTGTCTGGTAGTTGAACACTGTTCGAGTTGCTCTCCAACTCGGGAAAGGGTTGCAGGCACGTGTCCAGCTTTTGATGAATTTTGTTGCGGATGGTTCGTGCCGCATATTCTTGCTTTGGTGATGCGTGCCACACGGGCACAATGTTATGTGCGTCAACCTGAGCACAAGAGCCCATCCAGAGTTTTGATCCACGAAGCAGTGCACAAGAGCGGTGTGCACAAGCATCGGACATAAAACAGGGCAGAGCAGATGAGTTGCCGCCAGTACAATGCACCATGCACGAGAGAGGGGGACGGTCACACCTGATATAGGGGCACGTTCATGTCCTTGAGCTTGGAGCCTGTTTCCTTGACCCAGGCCATGGGAACGCGGAGCGGGCTCATGTCACAGACCACGGCACATGCTTCCTGCTCCTCGGCAAACTTTGGCAGCACGTCCTTGGCGTAGCCGGTCAGCAGATGGAAAGGTATGTGTTTTTTGCGCAAGTGTGTTTCGACGACCTGGTTGTAGGCAGATGCCGCCGTGGTGTGAGCTCTGCAGCTGGAAGGGCGTTGTCTGGGAGGAGGATCAGAACTGTCTGGGGGGGGACGGGGCGGGCGCTGACCTGGAGACCGTCCAACATGAAGCCAAACTGACGGATGGTGGCCTCGAGAAACTTGGGCACGAGGCAGAATACCACTCGCAAGGGCACGTCCCTCTCCTGAGCCAGGTGGCGAGCGTAGAGCAGCGCCCAATTGTCCGTGGGACGCTGATCTCGAGACATCCAATAGAGCTAAGGATGATTCACGCACACAAGGCGGGTTGACGCTTGCCAACCAAAGCAGGCCCACGGGTAGAGTCTGTCTCAGACGGGAACAGGACTGGGACATACCACGCACTGGCCCTCTTTTGGGTCAACCCCGGGCGTCACAGCCCGGACGCGCTCCATGAGAAAGTCCTTGGGCCCAGGTGGGATGCCCTGACTGCCATTTTGCTGCGCATGACCCGCATCATCATCGTCGGCCGATGTGTTGACCTTGGCCTTCTTGGCTGCCTTGGCCATGGTCCGGATTACGGGCAAGTTGTTCGGCGGAAGCTGAGCAAGACACGGAGTTTGAACAGCAGCGCTCGCTGTTGCCGCCCAATAGCGCAGAGCCGGGCGCGCCACGAAACAGCTTCCCAACGCCAACCGCCGCAACGCCGTGCACGCAATGGTCTCCGGTCCAACGATTCCCTTGCGATCTGTGAAGCCACACAAGGCGATGTTAAAAAAATAAAACATCCAGCCAAAAAAAGTGTGCGCACTTGTCGAAACCCTTCCCACGATTTACGATGCGCACGCGGAATGGCTGGCTGGTCGATGACCTTGGAGTTGTGACAAAGTGCGGTGGGTCGCAACGGGTACTGGGACTTGATGACAGTGTACGTACATGCACTACCACCTGTCACCCCCACCGCGCCTCCCGGGGTCGCAACCTTTTTTTTTGCTGATGGTTGGAGCCCTTGTGATGAAACATTAGAACACACACACACACACACACACACTCGCTCTGTCTGTCATTCTCTCTCTCTCTCTCTCTCTCTCTCGTCTCGCTCTCTCTCTCGAAACACAGACACACACACACACACACACACACACACACACACACACACACACACACACACACACACACACACACACACACACACACACACACACACACACACACACACACACACACACACACACACACACACACACACACACACACACACACACAACACACACACACACAACACACACACACACACACCTCTAACATGTCCTGCACTTTGAGGGCGTCGTGAAGGTTCAGGAGTCTTGGGTCAGGTAGTGACGAAACTTTTGTCAGTAGGCATGGCGTAAATTGTGTTGATGGTTGAGCCAGGAGGTTCGAGAACAAGGGCAGTAAAGATCTCACGTATACACGCGCACACACTGACGCGCAAATTATTACGTGCATCGGACCAGATCGCGGTAGACCATCATGCGCGCTAGCAAAACTCAACAACATCCTAAAAACCCAATAGTCAGCGCGGCTGCCTATTGAGGCGTGTCTGTAAACGTCGTGTAGGCACGACTCAGCCGCATAAAGATTTCGCGCGCCAGCTGCTCGTGCGGTTCATCCTTGCACTAAAGCCAACCGGCACATCGAGCAAGTGAGGGTCATTGACACAGGCCAACGAGGCCGCTCAACCCGCGCCTGGCCCACACAGGCTAACCTTGTCTGGGTGCACCACCAGGCAGGCCCGCTGATAGGCCTTGCGCACTTGATTGTTGTCCGTCAGCTATAAAACGATACCCCAAGGAAGCCACGTCAAGCCAAGACGCTGCGCTGATTCGCAAGAGCTGCCTATGCCCTCGCCTTTGACAATCAAGCATGTTCCCCCGCACGCCTTCTCGCAGCCCACTGGGTCGCGGGTATCGTACCACGCCAATGTTGATGGGCTTCCAGCGCGCGCCCTCCCACAAAATGATGTCAAGCGAACCCAGCAGGGCGCGGATATTGTTGTCTTTGCCCTCGCACCAAGCTTCAACCTGGCGTCGCCACATGGTCAGTCCAAGAGAGCGCCGCGAACAAGGCCCCCAAAGCTCCAGCAAGCAATGCATACAGAGCAGCAGTACCAACCTCAACGACGATCGGGTCCTCGTTGGCCATGCGGGTCGTCTTGAGCATGGCCCCGAGCGACGAGGGCTAAAGATAGGCTCAGCAGGAGAAACGTGAGGTACATCGCCACGCGCAGGGAAAATGCATGTTCAGGACGCAGCCGGCCGGGCTGTTTGCAAGACAAACCTTTTCATTGCGCTTGGCAAAACGGCTGTCCGAGAGCAAGTCGTCAAACATGCCATCCTGGACAAGAGCACGCACAAAGGATAAGAAGCATGCGGATGGAGCCGAGCACAGCGACCAATCCCATCCAAACGAACCGATGCGCCAGCGCCCTTGCCGGACGTCTTGCCGGACGCCTTGCCGCCAAAGACGTCCCCGCGTGGTGGTGGTGCCTGCTGGCTGGATGGGGCCGCTTGGCGTGGTGCTTGGTGAGACGCCGCACCCGTGCCCGTATTCGTGCCCACACCGGAACTGGCACCAGGCGCAGCTGTGGTGGTTGGCTTTGTAGCGGCTGGCGTTGAAAAGTCTAAGCGGGGTGGATGCATGCCGGCCGGCCCCAAGGGTTCGCAGCGGTTCGTCAATGCAAAGCGATCATTTTGCTATCGTCTTTGATCACTGACCAACAACACTCTGGCTCGCACTGAAATAAGAATTCGTACCAAAGCCGGCAAAGGGGTCGAAAGCACCGCCGGTGGTCGTGGAATTTGAAGCACTCGGACCAGATGCGGTCGTCGTGGCTGCAGATGGGGCTGGAGTGGGGTTGATTGGCGTGGAATCACCCATAAAAAAAGCAAAGGGATCCGCATCCTGTTCACGTCACCCACCCAAATCAGGTCAGCCTGCGTTCGCTACCAAGACATTCACCCTCATGGAAAGCACTTACAGCTGCCGCCGGCGGGGCCGCGCTCGGGGCGGGCTCTGACCCCAAGCCAAAGTCGAGCAGGTCTGCAGCCACCGAGTCGACTGAAGACGTTGGTGCTGACTGTGCGGGTGCTGCCGTGGGCGCCTCCATATCAAAGTCAAGTAGATTGCCGACGGATGACGACTCTGCCGCCATTGGTTCAGCCGGTGCCGCAGAGGCCGAGCTCGCGCCATCGTCCCCCTGAGCAAAACATGTTCATATACACCTTGAGAATAAATCGCAGGCTTCTTGACGGCAGTTGGGGCAAAGCAGAAACGAAGAAAACCAACAAAATCAAGTAGGTTGGCAGGCGCGGGCGTTTCAGACGGTGTCTGCGAGGGCTTGCCCGTGCTATTGTGCTCTGAGCCCATTGGGGGCCGTAACTGCGCATCATCTGCAAACAAGTCTTTTGCATACAATCGCGTGAGACCCCAGTACATCCTTTCACGCTTCTGCTCGTTTGCCGTTCTCCTTGCAAAGTTGACACAAACCTTCTTCGTCATCAGACACGGGGGCCAGGGAAGCGGGTGGCCGTTGATCATTGGATTCACGGCTGCGGCGGCCCCCCTCACTGCTGTTCCCGGCGCTGTCATCTAGCAGCATACTGTCATCATCTTCATCGTCATCGTCCTTGAACGTTGCCACCGCCACCTGCTGGAAAGACCTGCGCATCAGTTCCACATCTGCAGCAAACTCCTGCCGCTCCGCAGGCGTGCTAAATAGGAGAGCCGAGGTAAAGTCCCGCGCCTCATCCTCGATCCACGCTAAGCGATCCGGGTGGTTAGGCCCCATCTGATACGCGGGCGTGGGTGCATATGGGCCAGATGAGGCACTGCGACCCGGGCAGCGCAATCACGGTTCGAGGCACAGCACGAGGAGCTTGCACGTGGCAGCGAGAGGGGTCGGGGAAGAGAGAGAGCATACATCTGCCAGCAAACATCTGCCAAAGTCGAGTGTCAAGTCGTGTTTCCATACCTCGCAGTCAATGCGTAGCCCAAAGCCTTCCAAAGTCTCGCAGCGTCGATCCACACGATCAAGGTCCATGCTGCAGCGTCACAGCAAGGGGCATGAGGATGATGCCAAAGCTCCGGGTCTTCCGTGGCTCAGGAAGCGACGAGATGTACCGCTGAAAAATGCTCGTGGGACGAGTGATGTAGCCCGTATGAAATTTGCAGGTGCAGATGAGCCGACTGTTGTCGGCTGTGACAGGCATGCGATATGCAAGGTATCCATTCCCAACAGATCATCAGCGCATGGCCCGGGAATCGGAAAGCAACTGCAAAGGGGATGACCTTTGCGTACCTGACATGACGGTGGAATAGTGCCAGAGTTCAATGGTGACATCACCAAGGAGGTGCACGTCAATGCCCAGCTCAATGTAGTCATCCCGCGTATAAGTTCTAAGGGGGCATGCATCATGGCCGCATGAGTTTGTGGTGTGGAGGCTCGGCAGCTAGCTGCGCTGGGCACGGGTTAGAGGTCCAGACATACTGAGCATCACTTGGGTCGGCGGGCCGCGTTGACAGAACCTGTTTTTCTCCCACCTGCACCACGACAAATGGCCGACACGCCCCTGTGCACCAGTCGAGGTCAGATAGCCGGGACGATGCATCAGTTTTGGCATGGACCAAGACGAGCCAGAATGGGTGCGTGGTACCTTGAGCCGAGGAGCTCATGGGCGGGGTGGCGAGGATGTGGAGTTTGTGGATATGAAGTTCGTGCGGTTTGGGGCGCTCGCCCCGGTAGGTACGCTCAACATATTGCACATAGCTATGACGGCAAGAGGAACAGGATGGGGCTGTTCTTGAGAAGAGAGGCGCGGGTTGTGACCTATCAGGTCAAAGAGAGGGGGGGGAGGGGGAGGGGCGGATTGACGCACCGTAGCTGGTACGGGTTGAGCACCGGGGTAGCGCCAACGACGCGTTTGCCGGTGAAGATGCGCACGGCCTCCAAAGCATTGGTGGCCACGTTGGATAGGACTAGGCAAGCGGCAATCACGGTCCCCGTGGCCGCCAGACCATCCTATCCCAAAGTCGGGGTGTTTCGAGGAAGCGATTGAAACACGTGAAACGAACGAGGGCGTGCGCTTGTGGGATGCAGGTGTTTGTAGTGACCCAGGTGTAAAATAACCGGCGGGGGTTGAACAAAGCGGGGGTTGTAGGAATGGAAGGATGCAGGGGCAAGAGGATGGGAGCGGCCTTACGCCGCAGGAAACGACGGCAACGTTGTTCTCTTCTTGTCGGAGCCACTGCAGGATGGCGACGGCAGCGCGGTAGAGACGTTTGAAACTGCGAACGCTGCCGGCACCAACGTGTTTGTTGTCAATGGAGACTTGGAGGCTCGCCTCACAGGGCTTGGCTCCGACGATGAAGATGCGGCAGGCCGTAGGGGCGTGAGCTTTGGTAAGATAGGCATCCACGTCGGCTGCCAGGTTGCCACCATTGCGGCTCAAGAGACCCTATGCGCGCGATCCATCTGAGATTGAGTCGAACGGAGAGCGCATGTGTGCATGCGTGCATGTGTGTGTGTGGGGGGGGGAAGGTGCGAGGGAGGAGGGAGAAGGGAGAAGAGAGAAGGGGTTTAAGGCTGGGTACTGGCGCACCGAGTAGATGCCGGACATGGCCACCAGGCGGGGCGTAATGTATGTCAAGTCCAATGAGCCTGCTGCACCACCATGACGATGCGTGTCAACGCTCCTGGCCAAGGGCGATGCGACAGTGCGACAGTGCGGCATGGGGCGTGAGCGTCACGGCCAGCGGTTGGAGGAGAGGCACGAGATTTGAGCTCCAGGTAGAAAAAGACGACACGATCGCACTTGTTAATGGCGCGGGCAGCCTTCCGCAAGGTGTTGGTCTTGATGGACTAGCGGACGGCGCGCAGCATGGCGGAGCGTGCGGTGAGGCAAAGTCGCTGTCGAATGCTCGACCAAAACGCGGCACGTACATTCCAGGCCTGGCCCATGGAGGACATGAGGCCGCCACCACCGCTCTTGCCGTTTCCGGTCGGCGCAGCCATGTGGGCGGTCGAGGCACTCTGCGCCACACCCAGAACCAATCGCTGCCACCAACAAACCCCCTCCCGCTTATTCCCATCAACCGGTCGATACCGCCCCCTGCGATGCTGCGATGCTGCGAGGCTGCGATGCTGCGATGCTGCGAGGCCCTCCTGTCCCTCCTGATGCACTCAGGCTCTTTGAGTAAGATGCGTGTGTATGTGAGAGTGAGAGAGAGAGAGAGAGAGAGAGAGAGAGAGAGATGTGTGTGTGTGAGAGAGAGAGACAGAGAGAGGGAGAGAGAGACAAAGGGAGAGAGAGAGAGAGAGAGAGAGAGAGAGAGACAGAGAGAGAGAGAGAGAGACAGACAGACAGACAGACAGAGACAAGAGACAGAGACAGAGACAGAGACAGAGACAGAGACAGAGACAGAGACAGAGACAGAGACAGAGACAGAGACAGAGACAGAGACAGAGACAGAGAGAGACAGAGGGGGACAGAGAGCCAGAGAGAGACAGAGAGACAGATTGAGACAGAGCACAGAGACAGTGACACACAACCTTCCGAGCTTCACCGTCCAACAGCAAGTTCACAACATCAGTTTACCACAATTTACATCATCCCTGTCATAGCCTAGTACGAGTGGATCTCTTCTTCAAGTGTGTGTGTGTGTGTGTGTGTGTGTGTGTGTGTGTGTGTGTGTGTGTGTGTGTGTGTGTGTGTGTGTGTGTGTGTGTGTGTGTGTGGTCCTAGGTCTGAAGCGCGCACGCACGCACGCACAGAGGGAGGAGAGGAGGAGGCGATCTCATGTTTCGGTGGCAGGGGGTGGCAGCGGTGTGTGTGTGTGTGTGTGTGTGTGTGCGCGCGCTGCTGGTTGATGTGATAAGGGGGGAGGAGAGGGGTGGGCTGGGTCGTTTGGGCGTTGGCTGCGGGGATTTGCCGGTGATGATGATGATGATGATCGCAACATCGGAATTGCTTGTTTTGTTGGCGCTCACTTGGGGGTGTGCGCTCGCCCATAGATTAAAGTGGTTCGGCGATCGCGTTCTCGCACACACGGCGCGCTTTCAGATTGGCCCTCTTGTCCATCTTGCGATCCTCTTGTGGTGGCGCCTCTTTGTTCATAAGGGCTGACTGGCGTGATGGCTGCCAAACTGTTGGCCATGGCTGGCCTGGTTGGCGCGCTGAGCATGCTGGTGGCCGCTGCCGATGATGCCACCTACACGGCTGCCGTCTATCAGCACACACGTATCAAGATCAAGGGCAATGCCACCGCCACCAAGCTGGCCAATGTGGGCACATATGCCCCAGCTGCTGCGGCCGCACGCCAAGCGGGTGCTGACATCATTGTCTTTCCCGAAGTTGGCATTGGTAGCAACGAGATCAGCCGGGCCGAGAACGTGGCTTTTTGCGAAGACATCCCCGATCCCTCGGCCAACATCACTCCTTGTCTCGAAAACGCGAGCTACTGCGCTGCCCGGTACATCGCCGTTGCTGCATCACCTTGCGCTCCCCGCGTTCCCATACTTGTTCTGCACACCGTCACACACCGTTCGTGTCCGTAGCCCGGCACTCTGCGAGTTGAGCTGCATTGCCCGCCGAAACCAGCTGTACATGGTTGTGGGCATGAACGACATCAAGCCCTGCCCCAGCAATGCAACACACTGTCCCAATGACGGCTTGCTGCTCTTCAATACGGCCGTCGTGTTGGATCGCAACGGTTGGTGCCAGTCGATGCACGGTTCCCCGTGACCCGTGTCACCAGATTGGCTGCCGATGGTGCTGCCAATTTCTGCCAGCCCGCTCACACCCGCGCAAGCTGTACAGAGCGCTGGGCTTGAAAACTCGTGGTTTGATTGCTTTTTTTTTTTCTTGACCCCCTTTTCCTACCAAACGCCATCTTAGGTACCGTGGTCCAGCGCTACCACAAAAAGCACATCTTCTCGCCCTTCCCCGTCTTTGACGTGCCCACACCGGCCGAGGTCAAGAGCTTCACAACCGAGTACGTAGCACTGCCCAGGTCATGATGCGCCCATGTGCTGGATTGGACCGCCCTTCTTTATTCTCCCATGCGGACCCCACTACAGCTTTGGCATTACCTTTGGCATCTTCATCTGCTTCGACTCGCTCTATCCGGATCCGCCGCTCGAGCTCTACAAGCTGGGCCTCGAACACTTTGTCTTCCCAACATCCTGGGTCAATGTCGCACCCCTCCTCACCGCAACACAAATGCAGCAGGTTGGTTTGGACCGCTTGCTGCCAACGACCTGGTGTTCTTTCCCAAATCCCTCTCACCGCCGCCACTGAAACGGCCCACTAGAGTTGGAGCCGTGCCTTCAACGCCACCCTTCTGGCCAGCAACACGGGAGCTATCAGCACCAGTGGCAGTGGTATCTACCAGTGGTATGTGTGGTGTCTTTGGATCGCGCTCGACTGGATGACCCCAGCTCCTTCTCACCCGGATGTTTGCACTACCCCAGCGGCAACCCGCTAGTAACCTACTTCAACGCCTCTGGCTCAGATGCTTCCGACAGCCGCCTGCTCGTGGCACAAGTGCCCAAGCAGGGCTGCCGTGGTAACAACGTGAGCCCGTCATCCTTTGCACCACAGCCCGTGCCACGCCTCGCAGCGAATGCGGTCAACGACCAAGTCAACGACCAAGCCAACGACCAAGCCAACGATAATTGCGGGCGTGTCGGAGTCGACAAGTGCAGCTGCGATCTCGTCACCATGCAGCCCGGCGCCAAGTGAGCCTACGCGTGCGACGGGATCCAATGCTACCATCCTTGTCATGCCTGCCTTTCACAAGAGGTTGCTCATCGTTGGGGAATTTCCCCTGGATTCGATAGGGGACACCTCTCGGCCACGTTCGGTAACCTGCACTGCGAGGCAACATATGAGTTTGCCGAGAACCAGACCGCCAGGTGAGTGGGCAGTTTGCACGCGTTCCTTGTCAGAAATGGCCGCTGTATTTCGAGATTTCATGAATTGCTCGTCAAACTGATTTTTTAGTGGGGAATTGTTTGGCTTGCTGGTCTACTCGGGCACCGAGTGGTTCATCGAAGCCCTTCCGGTTCAGTACTGTGCCTTTGTCAAGTGTGCCAGTCCAACGGCCTGCGCCATCGCTGACGTGAACGACAACCCGGTGCTATACTTTTCAGACAGCTGGGTTCAGTCCGTCAGCATTTCTGGTGCGTCTTGTACCCATTCTCCACCTTCTTACGCTTTGACCTCGCTCCAGCTTTGAAGCTTCGCCTGCCTGGCCAAAGGCATCGTTGACTTTACACGTTGCTCGTTCGGCTGTGCAGGCAACTTTACCTCAAACATAGAGCAGCAGTTTCCGCTCCTCATTCAAACGGGGGCCCAGGTGATGGCCCGCGATGCGGCATACCAGAGTGGGAACACGCTGGCCTCAGAACCCGCCTCGAGTCAGTCCCCTTTCCGCTGTTGCGTTTCAATGTTCGGCCTTTTGCTATCTATGCTGCTTTTCCTAACGGCGAGATGCGCGGCGTCTAGGTGCCTGGCCGGCGCAGCTCTTGCATGCCGCAATCCTGGGTCGGGTCTGGAATCAAACATCGACAGCTTAATGCCTACTGCTGTCATTCGTGTGCCCATCCCGTTGTGATCCACTGATACTCTTGTCTCGTGCGGGCTTGGTGCGCCGTTGTCTTCCTTTTCTGCAATTTGATTTTCAATTTGTCGTCTTTGATCATGCGTGCGGAGTGCGCAGCATGCCGGCGTCACATGTCCACGGCCGTGGGGCCGAGTGTCAAGGAGCCAAACTACGAGGCAGGGAGAAAGGCAGCCAGGTGATCGCAAAAGGCAGAGGGGCCTCAAACTCTGGGTAATGACCACATCCAGCTCGAGGCGCACAGCTCATGGCTAGACGCTGGTTCGCTGCTTTGGTGACTGGGTCGGCAAGGCCCCAGAGAATGAGGACGGGAAGCGTCTTGGGGAAGGGTGGCGGTGGCTTCGCCGCTAGACTGGCAGCAAATTGTTGCAGATGGCTGGCGAGGCAATAACAGCCGCGTTCCTGGAGTCGGAAATCCGCGCGTAGCGTAAGGCGCTTGCGCAGCATGTCATCAACGACGGTGTGATGAAACCAGAGATCCAAGAGGGCATGTCGATTGGTGTAGTTGAGGATTTGTCCAACGATGGGCTGGCGCAGCCAGTTGTGCTTATCGCGGGCGGCCAACCAAGCGAGGTGCTGTTTGAGATTGGGGGCTTGCCATGCAATGACCCGGGCGATAATGTCGGGTTGCAGGGCGACGACTTGCTGGGCCACAAAAACGTGGCAACCACCAAAGGCAAGGACAAACTGGTCATGGCCATCCGTGTTGCTAATGTGCTCAAGCATGGCCAGGCAGTCCTCGGCTCTGGCGCGCAGCGTAAAGTCAAAGGCCTGGCCGGGGGCGGCCAGGCCCACGCCACGTGGCTCAAAAGCAATGACATCTCGACCCAGCGTGGTGAGCGGTGGCGCGGGAAGACCCTGCTGGGGCGTCAAAAGTTCTTGAACAAAGTTTTCTAGAACGTTGGGGCCGTCCATGCAAAACACGAGGGGTGGCAGCGTCAAGTCGACGACGCCGGTGTCTGGTAGCTGAGAGAGCTGCACATAGCGGAGCTGGCCGCCCTTTGGGCGTGGCAGGAGGGTGCCGATGTTGTCCGAGGGTGTTTGTTTGGGCTGACCCATGAACCAGCCATCGAGGCGGGTGGCCCAGCGGCGGCGCCCCTTGCGTCCGGCGTACAAAAGAACGGAGAGGACGATTATAAAGGCGGTGAGCGCCAGCAAGAAGACGAGAACATCAGTCGAGATCATGCTGCTTGGTGGTCGCGGGTATCACTGGGCGGTGCAAGAAAGGGTTGGTTGGAAGTTGCAGCGCTGTGAAGCGCCAGCAGCTGTTGTTCCTCGCGCTATAGGAGCAAAAAGGAGGTGTGGGGGGTGGGTTGGTTTTGAAATCCCAGAGCGTGAGGCGGGCAGCTGGGTGCTCGTGCTCGTGGAGGCGAGGGCGAGGGCGAGGGTGAGGAGGTACCTGGAGGATCTCGAGCTGATCAAGGACCTGTTTTTGGAGTGCCTTGAGAACAAAGGTTTCTTGCTGAATCTCAGACTTGAGGGCCGAGGCACTGCCAGTGGCCAGGCTCAAGCTAGAAAGCCAAAATAAGTAGGAGGCAGAAGCCGAGGAGGAGGAGGAGGAGGACGAAGGGCGTAGCGCATGAGCGGCGCGTCTCAAAGCTCTGGCTGGAACCTTCAGGGGTCAAGCAGCAATAGCAAGATACGAACATGTTTTGCTCTTCCTCAGGTAGAAGATTGGCCATCGAGCCGAAGCCGCTGCCAACGTGACCCCCGACACACGATCTATCCCCGCGCAACTTGCCTTGCTCCCTGTAAGCACCCCCAGAGAAGAAGAAGGAGGAGGAGGAGGAGGAGGGAGCGCTTCCGTCAACAATTTTTGAGAAATACGCAAAAGGACGCCGAGAGATGGGAGAGAGAGGGAGAGGGAGAGGGAGAGGGAGAGGGAGAGAGAGAGAGAGGGAGAGAGGAGAGAGAGAGAGAGAGAGAGAGAGAGAGAGAGAGAGAGAGAGAGAGAGAGAGAGAGAGAGAGAGAGAGAGAGAGAGAGAGAGAGAGAGAGAGAGAGAGAGAGAGAGAGAGAGAGAGAGACACCATCTTTGATTTTCCAGTCTCTCTTGGGTCTGTTCATCTCATCTTGACCTGCCCGCCTGCCTGCCTGTCTGCCTGCCTGCCTGCCTGCCTGTGCCTGGCTGTGTGCGTGCGTGTGGCGTGCATATGTGCCTGCCTGCCTGGCTGTGTGCGTGCGTGTGGCGCTCTCGCTTACTCTCAGTTTGTCGCTCATGTGTGTGTACCTGCTCGGTCTCGCCGTGTGTCAGGAGCAGCAGGATGGGCGGGGGTGAAGCAGGCGGGGCGGGGGCGGGGATGGTGCCGGTGTATCGGAATGGATGGATGCAGCATTTGCGGTTAATGTCACGGTTCAAGTTGGCGCAGGTGGCGGCGATGGCGGTGTGTGTGCCGGCGTTGCCCCACGCGTTGCAGGAGGGCTTGATGAGCACGGGCGAGGCGACTTTGGCGCTTGGGGGCTTGGGCGGGTCCTCGGCCATTCTCGTGGCTGCCAGCCTCTTTGCCCAGCGTATCATTGGCCAGTTGGCCGTCAACCCCACGACGCAAACGGTACGGTACGGCGCTCTGACGAAGATTGTCCCAATGCGCAGACGTTTCTGGTCCCCCATCGTGCCTTGTGTGAGCACCCAGTTGGACTTGGGGCAAGGGAGGGGGGTGGGGGGGGGACATGAATGTGATTTAGCGTCTCAATTGCTGGGGCAGAAGGAATTCCCGCTTGGCATGCTCAATGAGGAGGGCATCACGCGGGCAGCGCAGAAAGGGCGAGCGATATGCACAAAGGCCTGTGTACCCGAGGTGGTCGAGACGGGAGCAAAAGGGCTGTTTGTCCTTTCAAGCTCTGATGTATTTTATTTATAAACTGTTTTTTTTTTTGTTTTTTTTTCCAACCGAAGCCTTGGTGCCCGCTCATGGGACGACCGTGCCCGCGCCTATCCTCGGCAGGTGCGGATATCGCGACTCTCGTTCTGGGGTCGACGAGTTGATGAGGAGCTACCAGTGAGTGCAATTTTGCCGCCCTTCCGCCAGCTCACGGCCCCCGAGGAGGCAAGCTTGCGTGACCGGGCGTTGCTTGAGGTGCCCGTCTACAGGCCCAAGGGCAAGGGCCAGCAGGTTGACGTGCTTCTCCTGAGCCTCCGCTATGGAGCCCAGGTTCAGGACTCGGTCCGGCTCGAGGCGCTTCTGCGAGGCTCTCCCTTGCCTCAATGATATAGAATGATGATAATTGATCTAGCAAGCCGGGCTGCATGTGGTTGGGAAGTGTTTTTTGCACCGTCAAGGCTTGGACGCCGTTGCCGGCTGGACGCCGTTGCCGGCTGAACGCTTAGGACTGGCGACGCTCGCCTATGATGAATGAAAGGGGCGGGGAGGGTGGGGCGCAGGCCAGGCCCGAGGGGTGAGCTAGAGGGCGAAGAAGCAGTGGCAAGGCTTTGAAGAATGCATCGCCAAAGCGCAGCCGAGTCCGTACCGATAGGAGGCAGTGTTCCAGTCGATGCCTGAGGGTGTTGCTCCTGCATCTCGTCCCGAATCGCGCGCAGGTCGCTGACGCGTTGGGAAAAGTGTGTGACAGCATGGGTGATCACCCCCGCCGCAAACAGGGCCGTCAATACCCATGCCGCCGCTGGCGGTTTGGGCCGTGGTCCCCGCTCCATCCCCTCCCCAGTCCCTCTCACAGAGAGACAGAGAGGCAGAGACGAGAGAGACGAGAGAGACGAGAGAGACGAGAGATAGACGAGAGAGAGACGAGAGTGTGTGTGTGTGTAACGCCAGAAAATAAAAATCCGAAAAAGAGAGAGAGAGAGAGAGAGAGAGAGAGAGAGAGAGAGAGAGAGAGAGAGAGAGAGAGAGAGAGACACACACACACACACACACACACACACACACACACACACACACACACACACAAAGGAGCCGTTGCAAGTTCTCTAAGTCACACGGGTTCTTTTTTTCTCTCTGAGTGTGTGTGTGCTGGTGGTTGGACGGCTGATCTGATATTTGCGGAGATTGAGGGGGGTGCGCGTGCCTTTGGGACGCTGGTGTTGGACGGATAGGTGGCGTGTCAGGCTGCGTGTGCACCCGTGCACGATGGACTCGGAGGAGTCTGACCGGTGCGTCGCTCGGTCCTGTATTGTAATGCTTTGAATCACACACACTCTCTCTCTTTCGCTTGTCTGTGTCGTGCCGGGTGTCGCTGATGGGCTCGCGGCTCTCACTCAACGACTTGCGATAGCTACGACTCTGATGCCATTGGTTCGGAAGAGGAAGCCGAAGCGTTTAGTGCACTGCACCATGCCCCCTCGGCCCCCAACAGCCCGGCCACCCCGGCCTTTTCCCGGCCCCGCAGTGCGCCAGCCAGCCTAAGAAACGCAGCCTCCCCTTTCATGGGCTCCCTCGTGTACGTGTCCGGTTGGACTTTGTTCTCAGGCTCGAGCCTGCTCACATGAGCATGCCCCACCCACATTCCCACATTCTTTTGACCCCCTTTGCCAGCCGCATCTCCTTCTTCCCATCTTTTGCGCTCAGTTACCGCTTTGCCATGGATTTCCAGATTGCCCAATGCTGAATTGGATGGCGGCGAGCTGATGGGCGGAGCCCACCTACTGACCCCAGACAATGACGATCCTGCACACCCGCCCTGGTCCTCTGATGAGGCACCGACCTCAAAACACAACGTCCTCGAGCAAGAAGACGACAACGAAGTATGTCTGGCACATGGCGCTGGCCTCGGCTCGAGCTTGGCAGCCCGCGAATTCAATTTTATCCAGCCGATAGAGAGCTCCACTCGCCGTTTTTCCCCCACCGTGGCACCGTCTCCCTCACAGTGTGCCAATTTGATTCGCTGGTAGGATGCCCACATTTTTACCTCCAACGTCAAACCCTCTCGATATTACGGAGCCAAGAGCATGGACAGCGTGCGCTGTTACGCTTGCCAGGCCACGGGCCATCTTGTTCGCGATTGCCCCAAGAAGCTCGATGTACGGCCTCACACACCAACCAAGCCTCACACCACGTAGCGCTTACTCCGCCTCATTTCCTGCCTCGTCTTTTGAACAGAGCATGGGTTGTCGCCAGTGTGGTTACTACGACCATCTGCGTGCCGATTGTCCCCAAATTCTCTGCAACCGCTGCTTGCTCGTGGGCCACACACAAAAAGTACGTCCTTCCCATTCAGCCCCGGGATGTCTTTGTTTTGTTTTGCTTTTTTTTCCTGCTCGGCGCTTGCTCCAACGATACGTCACTCGTGAAAGCTCGCCAAACCACTTGACCACACATACCTCACTCCCCCACTTGCTTTCGTAGAATTGCCACGTTCGGCTAGAGCGTAGCATCCGTGAAACTTGTGACCGCTGCCACACCCCTGGACATACCGTTGTTGTATGTGTCCAATGCCTGTGCAAGGTGATCTTTCTTGTCAAAGTGGCAGGCCCTCACGCGGATGGCACCTCTTCTGGCACAGGTCTGCTCCGATCTCTGGCGCCAGTACGCCAATGTCACGGTAGGAGCTAGCAAGCCGGGCGTGCTGCCAAATACTTTTCTTTCACTCCCTCTCATGTCCCGCTGTTCATTCTTCCTCGTGTCGGTGCTCTTATGCAGTCCGACGAGGTGGCGCCCCGGGCACAGCGTCCTCAGTTTAGAGACGGCGAGTCTTATTGTTGCAATTGTGGCCGCACCGGCCATTGGCATCACGAATGTCCCAAGCACCGCTACCTTCACGATTGGCCCATGTCCCCGATTGTTGTCAACTTTGATCGCCTCCCCAGGTGGGTCCCAGGGTGCTGGCATCGAGGTTTCTAGGCATGCGATCCCCCCCCCCGCCATCCACCCGTTCCCGCTGACCATTGCAATCGGTTTATCATCTATTAGTAACCCCGGATCCGGCTCAGGCTATGCCCGTGACCCCAATCGTCACAGCAAGCCTAAAAAGCGACTGGCCCATGACAGTGAGCGCGAGGAACCGCACAGTCACAAGAGAGCCAAGCGTCAGACTGATGCGGCACCATTTCAGTCCGGACACGAGACACAGACCGTGCGCAACAGCACCAAAGAGCACAAAAAGTCACGCCATCATGACAAACCCGACAAGAAGCACAAGCACATCAAATCCGATAAGCCGCACAAGTCGCACAAATCTGACAAGACTGCCAAGACCCCCAAGGCCGAGAAATCAAGCAAACCAGGCAAACCCGACAAGAAATCAAGCAAACCAGGCAAACCCGACAAGAAATCAAGCAAACCAAGCAAACCCGACAAGAAACCTGGCAAACCGAGTAAACCTGAGAAGAAACCTGGCAAACCGAACAACAGGTCGAAGCACGACTCGCCAAAGACCAAGGCTTCTGCCTCAGCCCCGGCATCTCGCAAGCCATCGCCGAAACGCAATGGCGATTCGAACAAAGCTAAATTCCATGCCAAGCCCAAGAAAGGCTTCAAGCACGACAAGTCTAAAGCCAGGAAGAAAAACGGCGGCAAGGCCCATCTTGGCGGTGGTGGTTTTAGCAAGGCTCAGTGAGGCTTTCATGGTGGCCATGAGCAGACTTGATTTGTGCAGCTGGCATGTTTTGCATCTCGGCTACTCGATTGAAGGCACAGCTTATTTCGACACCAGTGCCTCTCTTGCGCACTATCCGATTGTGGAGGCGGGCGCAGGTTTTCAGCCTTTGGGATTGCGAGTTTTCGTGTATTTCTTTGTGTGTCCTTGTTTTCTTTTTCATCTCTCATACATCAGAGGGCCTAGTCGGGTCCGGCCGGGGTGGCCGGCGGTTGGCAATCAGCAGCGGAATGGCTATGCGCCCTCATGCCCCCTTACTTTCTAGGGGGCATGTACAGGCAGTAGTCTGAAAAGGTGGCCATAGCTCCAAAGGCGTTTCCTGGCAGAAGCAATGCTCGGCCGAGCGCGTTGGAGTTGGCAGCGTCCAAAAATTTGGAGCAAAAGGCGCGCTATGTGCAAAGATGCGGCGACATCAAGAATGAGCAAGCCTCGAGAGTGCCACGGCGATGCATGCAACAGCATTTCGAACAGCCTACCTTCCATCCTAAGGCATCATAGTTAGGCTCTAGGCTGGTGATGTAGGAGCTAGCTCGATCCACCAATGCCGTGCACGAACTGAGTTCCACCTGCGGTATGCCACGACAGGCCAAACAAATGTCAACACAGCAAATTACCACCCTATGAGCAAACGTGCACAATTTTGCCCTCTGCCATGGGCGCCGAGCGCCCAGACCCTCGTTGCTTAAATTGAATATGAATAGCCCAACTCTGCCTATGCCGTGGTGGCGTTGTAGCACTCTCGTTCCCTTGGGTGTCAAGCCTAGCACGTACGTAGCGGGAGGGCTCCTCGCGGTTCATATCGTTCATGTTTGGAGGGATGGCAAACGTGCCGTTTTCGGCAGCAAAGGGCTGGGGCAGCTGGCCCTTGAATTCGCTTTGCAGGAAACCCAATTGACTGCAAACGGCACGAGCATGAGTGGAGAAGATGATCCTCGCAACTGGTAAGCAGCAAACGCAAGTCATGAAGCGTACCACGTGCCCGGCAGGAAGAAAGAGCTGGGATAGCGGTACCACTCTTTGCCTACACAAATCGTGCAGTTGGGGTCCTGGGCCTTGGCGACCACTTCCGGCACCCTGGCGTACACATCCAATGGAGCATGGTAGTCTGGATGCAGTCGTATGGGCCGAAGGAGCAATACAAATAAGATGATCAGAATGCGCGGGGCGGGGGGGAGAGAGAGAGAGAGAGGGCGAGGGCAGAGGAATCAAGCACATTGGCTCGGAAACTGTGGCAATACGTCTGCTCTCAGCGAGATGAGACTTACTGCGGTACAGGGCGCCCACACGAGATAGAGCCAGAATCACAAAAACGGCCAGAACCAAGGGTTGGAAACGCTTGATCAGCCCATGCTAGTGGTTGGCCATCCCACATCAAGATGAGTCAAAGAGGATTCGACGCTGACCAGGGGAGGGAGACTGACCAGGCTCGTGGGAAGGATGCGGCGGCAGATGTATTGCGCCTTGCTCAATCCGATGGCACCCGCCAGACAAATGAGGGGATAAACAGGAAACAGGAAGCTGAAAGGAGCAAGGGGAAGAGGCGGTGAGATGTGAGCGCGGAACGAATGATCTCGCGCTCTGTGAATGCAATTGGGCTGAAACGCGTCATGCTCACCGCTCCTCCTTGTGCGCTTGTGGTACGAAGATGGCGAGCCACACCCATAGGGGTGCTGGCAAAGGTGGAAACACGCACGCACACACGCACACACGCACACACACCAAGAGTCGGTGAACCAAGCTGTAGATTGACAAGAAAGCACACCCATGGCTGACAAGTCGGTACCTTGGATCAAGTAGAGCAGTCGCGGGCGCACGGGATCCTGAAGCCAGCCGGCCACAAGCTATAGCGACGGTGAACGCAGTGCCATCGATCAATTTGGCAGGCGTGTGCGGGAGCCTTCAACATTGGCCAGTTTTCTCGCCAGCGACATGACAGACCGTCAAAACAGGGGCCAGCAGAGCCAGGATAAAGGCCACGTTGAAGTTGAGCAAGCTGTTGAAGATGTAAAAATGCCACGGCTCGGTACCTGACATCAATATCAGGCCGTAAGAGGACGTGAGACAAGGATGAGCGGGCTAGTTGGCTTCAGAATCAACTAACCATAGAGTTCTGAGCTGGTCTCTGATGACAAAACATTGTACATGACAATATTCCAAGGTGCCACCACCAGCTTCTGATAGAGCATTGAGTCAAATCCAATCAACGGGATCTGAAAGTTTTTAAACAGATTGCCGTGTCAGCGTCTTGCCAAAGATGCGCGTTGCGCCATCAAGAGGGAGGGAGAGGGAAGGGGGCCTTGTTTTACCAGGGCGCTAAGAGCCATGATGCCATACACGAGGCAGGCTGTGAGGCGGCGGCGAAGGAGGACGGCATCGACGGCAAATGGGATACTATTGGGGCCAGGTGCAGGCGTGAGTGCACACGACGCCTTGAAGGTCGGATGACGGTGAGGGTGTAGGTCATACCCAAGGGCGCCGCTGAAAGGCCAAACAAAAAGGGTGCTCAGGGCAATGCGATGAATGACGCTCTAGATGCCGGGAGAGCCGGTGGTGTGCGTTGGGGCACAGTGCAGTGCAGCGTGGTGAGCGTGACACGCAGGCGAGAGATCAGCGCATGCAGACAACAGGGAATGTTGCTTTGAAGCGTGGTCTGCAATGACGGCACTCAATGCAAGGGCTCAACACAACAGGAAAGGGAGGCAAAGAAATCTCTTTCAGAGCACCCAACGGAGATCATACATTGTCACGGCCATTGATCCAGGCTGCAAAGGCCAAGGTGCACAGGACCATGGCAGCGCTCGAGGGGAGAAAGGCGGCGGACGAAATGAACATGCCCGGGCTAAAGCCAAGGAAGAAGGCAAATGCTAGGGCAGTATCGGTACCAAAGCCACGTTTCTTGATGGCATGGTATAGGCTCAGTTCGGCAGCTGCAGAGGCCAAGGCCAGAACGGCACGAAGGCAGTAGAACTGGGTGATCTTATCGACACCCAGGGCCTGGAAGGGGCTCAGGAGAGCCGCGTGGATGGCAATGTAGGCCCATGAACGCAGGGCATACACGGGCGAGTACTCCCAGGTCTGCATGCCAGACCCATGCAGAAGGTAGTGGGTCTATGCAACACAGAGACGCAAGCCTGGACCATGAGAAGAGCGTGGTGGCTCGGGGGTTCGACCTGGGGAGGTGCGGCTCATACTCACAGGCTCCCAGTAGTTGTAGACTTCATCGCAATCGGTGATATGGCTCAGGGTTGCAGCGATGGCACAACGACACATAATCAGCATATAAGCCATCATATCCACCGTGCTCCATCCCCCACCAGTAGCCTGGGCCTTGCCGTCAGCCCGCGCGCTGCCCTTTTTACTCTGTCCGCCCATGACTTTCTCGCTGCGCCCGAAAAAAAAATGAAGAAAGACGTGTGTGTGATTGTCTGAAGAATGTTACACTTTTCATTAAAATTATTTCGATATACAATCATAGAGACCTCGAAGGTTAGACATTCATATCAGGAAGTATAATACTAATTTCGCTTGCTTATGCTCTTTCTTGTCTATGCTGTCTGTCTGTCTCTCTGTCTGTCTCTCTGTCTGTCTGTCTGTATCTCTCTGCTCTCGCTCTCTCTTTATCCCTCTCTCTCCCACACATACATTTTTACAGCCAATTCGGGGTTTCTTTGCCTCACTACCGCCCGTCCCTCTTGCTCTGTTTCTATCTTAACCTCCATCTCTGATCCTACTCTCTCTCCTCTCTCTCTCTCTTTCTCTCAACTATTTTCTCTCTCACACGCTCTCACACACACACACAGCAGAGCGTCTTCACGAGATTTTTTTTTTTTTTTTTTTTTTTTTGGCGTCTGGGGTGGCAGCGGCGGTGGGCGTTCGTCAGTTTCGGGTTGACTGCAACGCACAAGCCCAAGGGGCAAGGCGGTGTTGGGTCAGTTGGAAGCGGGTGTTTGACGTGGACGCCCATGCCCACAGGAGATCTCGATTGTGTCGCTGCGTGGGCGCGTTTCTAGGTGGCTAGAGCAACACTTTCTGGGTTCACTTCCATTGCCCCCTTGCCGCGCCCTTGCCGCGCCCTTGCCGCGCCCTTGCGTCATTGAGCTATTTGCCTGGCTCTTGGGGCGTTACCCTCGCCACATCTGGGCGCGGACCAGGCAGCCGCAAGCCAAGAGAAGGTGTCAAGCACCCAAGAAACTGCCAGCGGCGTTTGACGTCCGGTTGCGCCGGACGTAGCGAGAATGGGCGTCATGACGGAGGATGCCAACGTGGACGGCAACCTCGGAGATTTGCCCGGTAACAACTACTCGTCTGCCTTCTCTGCTCTCCCACGCCCCCTTTCTTGTCTCTCTTTTTTGCCCTGTTTCTCCCCATTCTTCCGCCATTCCTCTTGTCTGCATGCCCGGCTGGCTGCCATAATCCAAAGCTCATTCCTCCCTCATGGATGACCCCCATCGCTCCTAGACGAGGTGCTCAGCTCTTATCCCGCAGAAAGTCATGCCGCTGCCCTCGATGCCCTGCAATCCAAGTTCAAGGAACTCCAAGAACTGTAAGGCCCGACCCGGCCGTTTCCCACCTTGCCGCGGTGTCTCACTTGCTGCTTTCACATAGGCGCATCAAAGAGGCCCGCGATGTCTTTCAGACCCAGTTCGATGCGGTAAACTCCCGTTCCCTCAGCGCCTTGTCGATTTTACGTCTCCACACACCCCTCTCTCTATCTCTTGTCTTTTTTCCTCTTCGACCACTTTTTGGCCTGCTTGGACAGCTCTCCATACAGGCTTTCACATTCTCGAATCTCTGCTTCTCCTTCTGTTTGTTTCTCTGGCTGTCTCTCTACCCGTCTCTACCCGTCTCTACCCGTCTCTGCCTTTTGTGTTTGAGCCCACTTTGATCTTTCGACAGCTCAACCACAGATCTCTCTGGCCCTTGTAGATACAAGACGGTTCTCACGAAACCTTACAGTCACGCCTGAAGGACCACGTTGCGTCACTGCATGAGCAACTCGCTCTGCTCGGTAAGTTCACTCCCCGCCCGTGTGCCTTGCTGTGTGCATATCCAAATGAGATCCCGCTGACGCGTCGGGTTTCCGGTGCCGGTGCTCTATCATGCCTCAGAAAAACGTCGACAGCAAGCTGTACGTGTTTTTGGTTCTCGCACTCTCGAGCGTTCTGGCAGTTTTGGATCAATCTTGTGCAATCAAATCCGATTTGACCTCTTGGACTTGGACACTCATTTTATGTGCCCTGCACCTGGGGTCATTTGGCGAATGACTTTTCTTTTCCTGTTTATCTTTTCTATTTGTTTTTTTTTTCTTTTCAGGTGGCTCGGTTAGACCAGGAGCAAGATGGTGAACACCAGGGCGTTCGTACCACCCTCAAGGTGAGGTCCACCCCCAGTCTTGGCTATCGGCATTGCCTGCTCTTGAGCGCCGCGCTCAACGGATCCCACTTGGCCCTATAGACAAACATCCTGCTGCTTCCAGGTCGACTTTTGGACCAGATTGACCAAGAGCGACATCTTGTTTATCTGGACTACTTTAAGAGCAAACATGCTCAAGGTGTGCAACCCTGTTTTTTGTGACCTCCTTGCCCACGGCCACTAGGCTTTAATGATTGCTCGGTTCGCTCAGCTCACACATGGTCGCACATGCCCAAACCCGAGTTAGAATTTCGCCAACTACCCGACCCCAGCAATACCGACTTCCTGAAGGAGAAGCTCACAACCACTCGCAGCGGACGGACCACAACTACTCGGAACATTTTTGACGACACCTCTGATGTGCCGCTTTCCCAAGATGGCAAAACTTCCAAGAGTGCGCCAGCTTCGCAGGAGCAGGAGTCTCTGCGGCCCGATGTTGACCAAACAGAGCTCGAAGCCAATCGTGCCAAGGCCGCCACACCCCCGCTGCCGCATGGTACTGTCGGCTCAGATGGTCGCATGGTCTGGGAAGGCCCGTGCATCATCTACATGCTTACCCCTTCGGAAATCATGGAAGACATGCAACTCCTGGGCCTGCCCCTGACTGCCCCACCTGCGCCTGCACGCAAGGCAGCTCCCCCAGCGAAGCGTGCCAAGCGGCCCCGCCGACCTGACGCAGGCACAGGCGCCAACAGCAAATCACGAGCCGGTCCTGCTTCAACCACTGGGTCCACTGCTCCAACGCCGGTTTCGGCTACGGCCTAACTTTCCAAGTCGACCACTTTGTGCCGTCTCGCGATGGTCACTGCTTGTATTCTTTTCCTGTGCCATTTTTTGAGCCTGCCGCGTTTGTGCCATACGAGGGACCCTCATTTTCCTCCTTTATCTTGCTTCAATTTCATGCACATTCATTCCCTTGCTGATACCACCAAGGCACGAGACAATCTGATGTCGGCGGTATCCAAGTCACGCCGATCCGCCCAGGGTAGCTCGCTTCGCCAAGCCAAATATCAACAAACCAGAGAAAAATAGAATGCGCCGCCATGTGGCCAGAGACCTGTTTCTGCCCTCGTCGTATCAGACAATGCTTGCCTCGGCCTCGACGGGAGTGGTGGCCTCTACCGAAGCCCCCAAACCAAAGGCCTCCCCGGTGGCAACGACCGCCAACGGAAGCTGCTTCACAGGGGAAGGCCAATTAGGGGAGAGGTTGAAGAACACAACATCCCGTACCACGGCATCGTCAACGTTCAGGGTGAAGCTGGCTTTGTGGTCATTGGGGTGGCACATGAGAGCATCCAGCTCCTGTTCAATCAGGTTGTCGCGCCCGTGCTTGTCGCGCCGCAGTTTGAGAAAGTTGTGCTTATTCTGCACGGCGTGCATCGTAAAGCGTGCGCCCGCCTGCTCAGATGCATTGCGCGTAATTGTCACCTGTTTAAAGGCCCCCTTGATAGTTTGTCCCTGCCGCGCAAAATAAGGAGATACCTCAGAGCGCGTAGCAAAATACGCCCCCGCCCACACGCACACATACACACACGCGCGCAAGCATGCACAATTACCTTATCTTTTGCAGTTGTCGAGGTGGGCTTGACGTCCAGGACAAGGTCCATGTCATCCGATTCACTCTCGCCGGGCATGATGTGCGTGGAGCCAACGACAACGCTTCGTAGAAAGGGGTAAAGCTTTTGTTCTGACCCCTGAGACGCGTCCGTGGTGATGAGCAGCTCGTTAATGCTCAGATTGGTGTGTGTGAATGATGCGTGCGTCAAATAATGCACCACATGCTTGGCCAACTCGCTCAGCTGCTCTCCATTCTCTACCACGCTGCCAACCTGTACCGCCGTCACAAAATTACAGGGATTGGGCATGGGACATACCACACCGTGAGTGAGCAACGCTCCGGGGCGGTTCTCAAAGCATTGGCAGGCACGTTACGCACCAAATCAAACCATGTTGGCGTATTGAAGTGGGTGGCATAGTGGTCGTCGATGTGAGCCAGATACTGGATCAAGGGTGTCTCATTTGCTTCCAATGGTAATGGTAAGAAGGCATGGTAGCGCTGACGACCCCTGAAGGCAGCCTCCACGTAGGCTTGCAAGAGCTGCCACTGAAAGGTGGCGCTTCCCAAGATCGCAATGGTGAACAAACTAGCTCGTGAATCGGCATATTGGACAAGCGCACGGACATGGGCCTGCAGCTCTCCGGCCGCGCAAGGAAGCACTTGCGTCGCCAACAACCGAACGCCCGCATCCTCCTCCGCGCCAGCGGCGATTTCGCTCGCAATCTCTTGTGCCTTATCGTGCTCAAGATCAACCAAAATGGCAAAAGGCAGATCGACATCAAGCCTGGCTGTCAACTGCGACAAAACCTAGGTCCAAGTCAAATTGCCCGGGATGAAAAAAAGAGTCAACTCAAAGTCAGCAAGCCATCAAGCATCAAGAGCATACAAGCAAGCCGTGGGACTTGCGCAGCCCTTATGGAACAGGCGAGACTAGAGGTGGCGCGTGGGGGCAAGCACATACCGAAGAAGCCGAGCGGGGCCGATTAGGTACGCCAAGGTCAGAGAAGGAAGGCATCTTGGGAATGCGGCTCGTGCTGCTGTTGGTACCACCACCGTTGCCATTGCTGGCCGAAGATGTTGACGCTGTGCCCCGCTCCTTTTTGCGACCACCAGGCAAGATGTTTTGTAAGCGAACCGCCAGCTTGTTGGAGCGGCTTCCAGCACTGGGAAGGCGGTGGAGTGGCTGCGACGAGGACGACACGGAACCGCTGCGTTCGCGCGGTTCGGATGGGCGGATCACGCCTGGAGACGGTGGTTGAGCCGGGGAGCTCGTGCTTCGGCGCAGTGCTAGGCCACGCGTGTCTGGTGATGCTGGAGAAGTGAGTAGTGAAAGACCGGTGTAGCCATGTGGAGACATGCCTGGTGTCGGCGTGAGCACGGGCTGCAGCAGCATTTCACTGTTGGCCACAGATTAATGCACCGTGCGGAACATATTGATCGTGAGAAGAAGTCAGGTTCACACCCGTGCCCGTGCTCGGGTTGATCTGGTTTGGTGTCAATGAAGTGGTTCGACTGTAGCCAAAACGCTGACGAGGAACGAGGAGAAGAGTGTTTCAAGTGTTTCAAGTGTTTCAAGCCAGCCGCATGCATACCTGCTGTTGTTGTGACGGACGGCAAGGTCGTCGTCATCGTTATCTGAATTGTCACTATACTGCGACACGGCCGACGAGCCCATGCGTAACACCTCCAACAAACTGATACCATCCAGGTCTAAACGTACACCCCGGCCGTGCATCAGGTTTGCCGCGGTGCTGCACACGACGGCAAGGAAGTAGTATCATGACACGAGAGTGTGCGATTCGCGCTCAACTGACCCTCAACGTCAATCTCAGCTTCTTCTTCCTCCTTGCGCTTGCGACCTGAGGCCAGCCCAAGAGCTCTTGCCGTGAGAAATGCCTCTGTTTGAGACGCTTGACGTAGCAGAGGTACTTTTGGGGGATGCCGGGACTGACCCATCTGCGGAATGTTTTTTATGCCCTTCATCAACTTGCGAAGTTTCATCTTTTTCGGCTTGCGACGTCGGCTGCAATCACCACATGCAAGATTAGCAAACAACGGGCCAGGCGGATCAAAATGCCGCTCTGTAGAGTTCTGACCTGGCACCACGGGTAGACATGCCATCATCGTCCACGTCGCTCAACTATGGAACAAATTGTAATGTAAAACGCATTTTCAAAAAGGAGGTTCATGTTATATAGCGAGCTTTGCTGAAACATCACGGGTCGCGGTGTCCAAAGCGATCAATCACATGGCAGGATCACGCACTGCATCGGCTTCAGACCAGCCATCAGATTCCTCCTCAACGTCATCTGCGACAAAGAAAGGAGCCAAGGGTGAGCCATGCATGATTTGGGGCCTTGCACATGAGACCAGCTGTCCGCCTGGCAGAGAATGCTGTCTCGGGAAGCACGCCGAAGAAATAGGATCAGACCGGCCGTTATTTGCAAAGGCTGAGTGATGATGGAGTCAATCTCGACACGCGCGGTGATTTGCCCGTGTCGGTCCACCAAAGACAGCGTGCCGGTCAGCGATGATTGCAGCACCTTGATGGAATGTCCACGTGATAACAAGGGAGCCGAGTGAGCCGAGTGAGCCTTATTGGTTGGACGAGCGGGCCAGGCGATATGATACAAGCAAGCGTGGGGCTCCACAATCGGTGTGGCCGGATTATATGGAACAGACCTCGTCCATGGAAATGGCCGCGGAGCAGAGGAGCTTGTAGCCCTTGATGGGGCGATGTTTGTAGCGTTTTCTTCGCTCAAGGCTGATGATAAGAATGTTTTCGTCAGGCATCTTCCAGTTGTGGGAATACTGAGGGAGGGGCAAACGGGGAGTTCAGACTGATCAGCTTGCAATGGCCGAGAACCATCACCCGGGCTGGTGAAAAGCCAGCAGGCGAAGCACTCCCGACGACTAAGGCGCGCACCTGAAGGTTGTACGTCAACTGTAGGGGGGCGTCCACCTTGAGCTCAGCATTGAGGGGGATATTCGGTGATCGCAATGTCTTGCGTGTGTTCTGCACGAGTGATGCAAAGATATACAAAAGCAGGTTGTGAGGATGGGTGCACAGCGTCCCCGTCCAAGGGCAGCAAGGTGAATGACGGAGGCGCCGCTTGAATGAAGTTGGCAGAGGCCCCGACCTGCATTGAGACGGCAAGGTTAACGGAATCGACTGTTGTTTTCAACAGCTCCTGCTTCATTTGATCCACGTCGACGGGAACCAGCATTTGAATGTGTCGGATGTTAAGCTGACAGATGCTATTCAAGCAAAAGTTAAGAAGGATAAGTTGAAGGAACGGCTATGCGTCTTTGAAGGCCCTGGCTCCAGCCACCTTGAGTCGACTCTCACCGTGGAGTACACGCGGCGTCCAGACGGCGGCCCAGCTCCCACTACCACGCACAAGGTGATCGAGGACGAGAAGGACAAGGAGCAGGAAGAGTTGGAGAACATGAGCGCGCGAGTTTCAAGGGAACAATGTACACCCACATGGACGTACGCGCGCGCGCGCGCGCGTGCATGAGTGGTTTAGGCCCTGCTGTACTTACCGAAGAGTTGATCATGACGGCAGCCATGGAAGGGCTGGGGGAGGTCGTCTCATCATCACCGTCGCCTGAGCCTCGGGTTTCCGTGTGTTGCAGGGTTGTGTTTGCTGCTCCGGAGCCAGGCATGGCTGCACTCCCCATGCCAACGCTTATGGGCAGCGCCTGGACATTGGAACCCATTGGCGCGGCGCTGCTGCCGCTGGCGGCGGGGCCATCAGACGGCAGGGCCGACATGGTATCAAAAACCGCAAGTATACTCAAATCGGATGGGATGGAACAATCGAGTGCCTAATCACCCTGGAGCGCGATCGTTTCCAGGGCTTGACCAGATGCGTGCAAATCGAGATGGCACAGGCGCAGTGCACTCCGAGTTTCAGGGCAGGCTGTTGTTGTTCGCTCAAGGTCCACTCAACTCGATCCCTTTTTGGCTCCCTCTCAGCATCAGCAAATAGCACACGCAAGCCCAGCTCAGCGCCAAACGTGAAACGCGAGATCAGGAAGCCACCAGCACCACCAGGCACCCGCGCACGAGTAACTGCACTGGCCAACCGAGCAACAACGATGCCGTCCGCAATCTCTTGAAAAAAAAATAAAAAATGAAGCGGCCGCGGTTTAAAATAAAAAGATGCTTTGGAAAATGAAATTCACTTCTTGTGAATTGTCAGCTTTTTTAACCGTTGAATTTCTCTCTCTCTCTCTCTCTCTCTCTCTTTTTTTATTTTTTTTTTCCGGCGGCGTTGGTGGACTCGGTGCGCGGCGAGTCATTCTGCAAATGCAGGGCATTGGTGGGGAAGAGTTGTGAGGCAGGTTGATTGGCATTGGGCTGTGGGCTGTGGGCTGGGAAGGCGGACCGATGCAAAGTGCGGCGTAACGGTCGTGCATTTGGCACAACAGACCCATGGCTGGCCGTGCGCGGCCATCTTTGCCCCGGTCGCTGGCGACCGCTAAGCGCCGATCATCCAGTTCCATCCGGTCCCTCGCCGACCAGCCATATACCGTGGATGGCCTTGAGTCTGATCATGGCACGCATGCTGTTATAAGCATGGATGATGATCCAGGTCCAGACCCGGAGATCGCGCGCCACAATTCGGCACACTTTTTGAATCGACTCAAGCCGTTGACAGCCCTTGGCCCACCCTCAGGGGCGCCGGCTGGTGCTCTCGCTCCTACCACGGAGGCAAGCACGACTGGCACCATTGCCCGTGATCTTGCAGATCGGCTGCCCGTTCGACTATGGCAAGGACTGCTGCCCTTTCAACGCGAGGCCGTGGTGTTTGGAGTGGCACGAAACGGACGCATTCTCATTGGCGACCAAATGGGTTGTGGCAAGACCATCAGTGCCATTGCCCTGGCGTGTGCCTTTCGCCAGGAATGGCCCGTGTTGATCGTGGCCCCAACCTCCGTGCGCGGCTCCTGGGTGGATGAATTAGAGGAGTGGCTTCGCTTTTTGACCCCCAATGACATTTGCGTCGTTCGCAGCGGCAAAGACGTGGCTCGTCTCGATGCCGCCGTTGTCGTAGTCACCTATGGCCTCCTGAACCAGAGTACCATGATGGATGCCCTTGCTGCTCAGCGCTTCAAGGTCAGGCAGTGATGCGCGTCCTTTTCCCCGCCTCACCTTGCCTCTGATGTGCTTATTCTGGCGTCGATTCTTGGCCATCTATTGCGCCTGCGATAGGTTGTCATCATCGACGAGTCTCATTATCTGAAAAATTCCCGAGCCAAACGGACACAGTCGTAAGCACCGCTTGGTGTCAGCTTGCCCGTCGTTGGTGACTGTCCCTCTTTGCTGACCGATAACGCACGTGGTCTAGACTGCTGCCGATTCTGCGCCGCGCTCGCCGTGTCATCATGTTAAGCGGCACTCCGGCCCTGGCCCGTCCAGAGGTAGGTTTCTGCCCCCGTCTGTCGATTGCAATATCCCCCGCCACCACCACCATCACCACAACTCCCTAGAAACAAGAGGAACGGGCTCGAGAGTCCAGGCTGGCTTCTGCTCACTTCCCCCAAATGCGCGCTCAGGAGCTTTATACACAGGTTGATGCGCTCAAGCCTGGCTACCTTGGTAGCTGGACCTCCTATGCACAGCGATATTGCGACCGCAAGCGTAACTATTTTGGTGGCTGGGATACCAAGGTGCAACTCAAAGCTCGGTCAAGGCACTAATAAGCTCTCGACCTCGCGTCAATGAGCATGGCACCCGTCCCCACTGCCCTACTGCCTTGCACGTGTCACCACTCATGTGCTTTCTCGCGGTGCCTCTGAAGGGCGCCTCCAACCTGCCAGAACTGCATGACAAGCTGCGAGCCATCATGATCCGCCGGCTGAAGAAAGATGTGCTGAGCCAGCTACCCCCCAAACGAAGGCAGCGAGTGTTGCTGGATGTTGGCGAGGCCGATTTGAAACGGGTGCAGCAAATCAAACAGCAATTGGACAAGCTTGACCCAGTTGATGCTGAGAGCAAGATGCAATCGTTCGTTCCAATTCCTGGCACAACCGATCCGACAACTCTGATTTGCAGCCGGGCGCTCACGTTGGATTTGGCTGTCTAGACATGCCCTGCTACAGTCACTTTACAAGGAGACGGGAGCAGCCAAGATTCCAGCGGTGCGCGAGTACATTCGCGGGCTGTGTCAAACCGGCGACAAATTTCTAGTCTTTGCATATCACCTCGATGTCCTCGACGCCGTTCATGTGGAGGTCGTCGCTGCCAAGGTAAGACTATCCAGGACCCCACAAGCTTGGTTTACCAGCACTGACGGTCATACGATAAGCTAACCCAACCTTTAATGTAGCTGGACTATATTATGATTCGCGGAGACACGCCCGTGAGCGAGCGGCAAGCAGGCGTCCGCAAGTTTCAGGGCAACGACTCGTGGTTCGTGCGCGTCATTCCATCTTCGGCTCGCCACGAAAAGGCTGACAAAAGTCAAGTCGTTGCCCTCCCTCATCTCGCTTTGTCGGCTCGTGTGTTGCCAAGCAGCCGAGTAGCCATCCTGTCCATGACAGCTGCTGGACAAGGATTGACATTGACAGCTGCCTCCACCGTCATCTTTGCCGAACTTCATTGGACGCCCGGCATCATCGAGCAAGCTGAGGTATGCAGCACTCCAATGGAAGGGAACAACACCCACAGGACAGCCTGTGTTTTGGAGCAGAGTTACGACGCTGCGCCTGGCCAGGGCTACGAATGACCCACGCTTTGGGACTTTCTGAATAGGACCGAGTGCATCGTATTGGCCAGGGCGACCCTGTCAATGTTCAATATCTTGTGGCCCGCCGTACTTTGGACGATACCATGTGGAATATTGTTGATCGCAAGGTATGGCCAGCTTGGCTCTGGCAAAGCGATTGGTGCGGTTGGCCTGTGTGAGGAGAAGCCATTCTGAGTCCTTTCTTTGTGATGCCAGGTGGGTGTCGTGTCGTCAGCCCTCGATGGCCAGCGTGAGCGGTTGCGCGCCAAGAACTCGACGGCCCAGCGCGAAATGGGAGGTCAGATTTCGCTTTGCCCGCCCTAACCAATCGCGAGGGTCTTCTATGTTGTTTTGATGTCTCGTCACTCCTTTCCACGCTTTCTTTTTTTTTTTTTTTTTTAAAAACCCTTTCGATGAACCTACCATAGATCTTCGCCAACGCAACTCCTTGGTCGATTCTGAGGATGTGCGTGAGGGCGCTGCCCAAGTGACAGACATGCTGCGCGAGCACCGAAGCGAGCTGATCGACGCAACCATCACATCCAAATCTGGTTTGTGGACGAACGCTTTCAAGAATGGCGACCCAAACCGTCGACATCATGATTGAGGTGGTTTTGGACTGATGCTCCGACTGTGCTAGATTTGCGCAACTTTTGGAAATCACCGAATGCGCGCTCGCGACCCCACCCCAAGGTCATCGTCGAGCCGTGGTCATGTCCGGCCTGTACTTTTTTGAACGGTGCTGACGGACAGAGTCCAGGATCGACAAATAAAATTCCCAAGCAGTGTCAGATGTGTGGTACCCCTCGACCCAAGCGCCAATCCTCGACCGGATCTCAATCCGAGGTGGACGAGCGACAGGCGCCCATCATGTCAACGGCTACCGAGACCACCCAGAACGACAGCGACGACTTGGTGAACATGGACGGTCAGTTGCATTTGAGCCCAGGAAGCGGTTTCAACATGGATGGCCCGTCTGGCTTGCACAGCTTCGATCCAAGATCCTCATTTTCGCGCACCCTCTTCCACGCACGCACGGATGACACAGAGATTGAAGCAGATGCCGTCGCGCCAAAGTTTAAGTAAGTTGTCAAAAAATGTTGGAATCCACTGCATCGTCTCCACCTCGACCCCTGCCCCCCGCTCTTCCCCTGATCAAGCATCAATATACCGCACCATGGGCCGTAGGTTTTGCGTATCACGGCACACGGGGCGCCTTCATTTGTTTGACCTCGAGGATCGGCCACTCATGATCAACTTTCACATGGATGACTTTCAGCATGGTGAGCTCAGCTTGATGTGCAGCCATGTTAACTTTTGGGGAGGAGCGGGACTGGGTATCTTGATGAGGTATCAAGAACCAGCACAAGCTCGATGTGAGGTACACTCACGTTGCAAGGCGTGCTGCGGATGCCGTCCACGTAGATCGTCTGAAGACTGTACCTACACACCTTCAAGCACCGGCAGCCCGGCGCGAGGTCTTGCGCTTCATTGCCACCTTCAACCGGCTCAAGGCCGCAGAGCAGCATGCGCTTGGCAACCTGGTATCCCCCTGCAGCCATTGATTCGCCGGTCACGGCGCCAAGATGGTGCCTGAATAGACCCCAGCCGTGACTTGATGGATATCCTTTGCTTTGCACCTTGCCTGCTAGATCATGGCCAACGTCCAGGATGGTCAGCGCTTGCTCCGAAAAGCCAAGGAGGAGCGCAAGTCGGGCAGCGCCCGTAAGGCAAGTGGTTACGGCCTATGTGCCTATCGTCCCACCGCCCTCGTGGTGGTCTCTTAGCGTAGCTCCGGTGCCGCTCGATCATCGACACCCTGATTTTACACAGGCGCCCTCGACGCGGAGATACATGGAGCGCACAAGCAGTGTACCGAGTGGAGAGTCCGCGGCCGCCAGCACGAATACCACGCCAGTGCGCAGCTTGGCAGCGTCGCGCCGAGGAGGCCGAGCTGGTCGAACATCGACAACTGCTGTGGATGCGCCCTTCAATTCGCCTTTTGATCGAGCTCCAACAGCGCAAGGAAAGCAGCACTCGCCGGACCCCGTCGAGGCAAAGTGCCTTGAATGTGGACAAACCTTGCAGCACAAGTATCAAGAGCGTTTTTGCTCGCACGAGTGCTATGAATCCTATTCAATCAAGGTGTGTGTGTGTAGCAGCTGAAGCAGGTGACAGAGCAGAGGGGTCGAAGGGTTGGGGAAGCCATGGCCCTGGCCTTCCGCCATTGCTTTGTGATTGGATGTCAGAACGCGTGCAATGTGTTTGTGATTGCGGGATGGCAGACGGGAACTGGAGGATCCATCCGTCGTCGACTGGCAGAGCTTGAGCAGGGCGTGTGCCAGCTGTGCCACCTCGATTGCCAGACGTTGCTCTATAACCTCAAGGGGGCGAGCACGACGAGCGAGCGGCTCCGTCTCCTGGCCCAAACCACGCTGCACAAGCTGCCTTTGGAGCGGTATGATCAGTGCAAAAGGATGCGGCCAGCGTAATCATAACTCTTACCGTATTCTTGCACCCATGATGCCGGCTTGTGCTTTAGGCGAGAACGGATTGCGCGAGCGCCCAAGGCAGCTGACTTGTGGCAAGCCGACCACATTGTACCTGTCTGCGAGGGCGGTGGGGAGGCCGAAATTGAGGAATTTCGCACCCTTTGCACCGTGTGTCACCAAGGCGAAACCCAACGCTTGGTGCTTGGTGGTACGTGGTCTTGCGTTGGCCCCGGCCCTGCGCATGCAGACGCGGCCCGAGACTTTGTCGCCCTCTTCGGTTCTTACTCGTCTCGTTTCTTCCTCTACCTTTGCTTGTGGACCTTGTTTTATTTTTTGTTCTTTCACTACTTCATGTATTCATGTTTGAAACGGTGCGGGTCGGCTGTGACGTGGTTGGCTTGAATAGGGCGTGCGGCGCGTCAGTTGCGCCACGCTGCCAAGGGCTCAGGAAATCTGCTGCACATGTGGCAAACCACGTCAACCTCTTCCAGTCATTCGGATCGAGCTCCGACCGTTATAGAGCTGGACGACTAAAAGCAATCTTTACAGTATCGCGCCTCTTCTTCACAGGACCCGTTTAAAATTAATACATGCACGTTTTTTTCGCAGTCAAATCCACTGTACACTCACACATGAAGAGGGGTGCAGTGACCGTTGCTGGTTTGTTCCCCCTAACAAGCGTGCCTAGCTCACACATGCTATCAAAGCCCATGTGTCAATGCTGCACTGCCAACCTGTTGAGAAACGTTTGCGCACCACCAGATACGCGTCACTCGCAAATGCGCTCGTCGTGCTTTTGGCATGTTCTTTTATGACCCCGTAAAGGAGCATGATTTCGCGTTTTTTACGCTATTTTACGCCCTTTTTTTTTTTCCCTTTGTTCTTTTGAAAAAGCCATGTGGCAGGCTGCGAATCTGTTGCCATGCCTTTGGACTCTGAGCATTGTTGGAAAGAGCTGCCCTTCGACCTGCATCACGCGTGTAATACATTTTCACTTCCAGGCAGGCAATGCCAAGTACCCGTCAATTGGTTTCAAGCTAGACAAAGTCTTGCGTTGTTTTGTTTTGTTTTGTTACACTTGAATCGAATGCCCCGGGGTAAGTTTTGAAAGCAGTCTTGGTGCTATCTACCTGCCTCGCGCGCCTCAATGCACCCCTCCAAGTTCTTGGCTTTACACGTCAAAGCAGCTGGTCAGGAGCGTGGAGTTTACACACAGCAGAACGCAAGAGACCATGCCATCAGAGAGGCAGATGCATCATCGTGAGAGCAAGTCAAGTCGAGGCAATTGCGGGAGAAGCGGGAGACGGAAGCGTGCATGCTTGCAAGTTCTCAGGTCAGTGGACTGTTGAGAACTTTTTTTTTTTTTTGTTTTCCTCTGCAAATTAATCTTGTGACCTGCTGAACGCTGTACTTTCTCCTTCCGCCCACCCAGACGCCCTCGTTTGAAAGTTTGCCTTGCAGACTGTGGTGGACCGCCCCCTTTTGATTTTCTGCCGGTCGTCGTCGTACTTTTGAGTATCACTGATCGCGATGGGGCAAGCCGGAAGCAGCGCACTGAGTACGTCGTGAGGCGGTGGATGTGGCCACTGATTGACCGTGCCCCGAGTCCTGACCACCCACTCACCAAGGCTGTTGGGCGCAATGTCTCGTAGGCGGCAAGCGCGTCATGACGCACGACGAGTTGGAAAACGTCGTCAGCTACCTCGGTGCGTGCCCACCACATCCACTCCGCCACGGTTTCGTCTCTCGAAAGCCGCTTTTTTTTCTTTTGAAAGTCCTCCAGTGCCGTTGACATCTTTGCCCTGTTGCCAAAACGCCTGCTTTGTGGCTCATGTAGATCAGCAAATGACGGCCTTGTTCCGACATGCGGAGCGGCTGTCCACCAATCAGAATCGGGGCTGGATCGAAGAGTATAGCAAGTTTGCCGCCATCCAGGGTGTGGCCCATGCTTCCTTCACCGAGGAAAATGTGAACAAAAACCGCTACCGCAACATCTCTGCCTACGACCACACGCGCGTCAAGATCACACCAAACCCGGTTGGTGGAGCGCTTGGTTTGCTCACGCAGGTCGGCCTTGCGCTTGGCTCACTCGGCACCTCCTCTCGTGTCATCACGGTACAGCACAATGGCATGTCCGACTACGTGAATGCCAATTACATTCCAGGCGAAACCAAGTACATTGCGGCCCAAGGGCCGGTGCCCGAGTCCTTCTACGCCTTTTGGTGCGCGGCATCCTCAAGGAATGTGCCCCACTTTTTTGCCGACTGGCTGACCCCTCGTGCAATGCTGCCCTGCCCCCGTGTCATCTTAGGCAAATGGTTTGGGAAACCAAGGTTGATGTCATCGCCATGGTGACCAACGAAATTGAAGGCGGCAAGCTCAAGTGCCACCGCTATTGGCCCGAAGAGCAGAACAGCGAGGTTTGTTTGCGTGGTCTAGACCATAAACAAGACATGAAGAGGGGGGCTTTTTCTTCGTGACGGCACCTGTCACACCCGGCTCGTGCCCGACTCATCCACGGGCAGCACCTTGCATCCACATGCAAGCACCGTTCTCATGTAATTTGCACCTGTTATCCCGTTAGCTCAAGCTAGGCAATCTGCGCATCATCTCCGGGCCCGCGCGCGACACCGCGACGCATATTTGCAAGCATTTTATGCTGCAAAACATGGACACCAATGAAGTCAGCACCCTATGCTGCCACCGCTCGTGTGCTTTTTTTTGTTATTGTTTCCAGCCTTACCTTGGCCTCATCGTGTCTTGCCCCTCCGTGTCTTTTCAAGTCCCGCGAGATTGTGCATCTGCGCTACACGGCGTGGCCTGACCATGGTGTACCCGAGTCAGCCTCGGCCATGCTCTCATTTCGGTCAGTCACTCATGACCTGCAGCATGGCTTTTGAAAATTTATCAGCAGAGTTCAAGCCATCGGTCGCGCGGCGCGGTCTCATCCCGCGTGTCTGCATCCTCATAGCAAAGCCATCCTCAAGCTCCAAAAGTCCGACACGCTGCTCATCCATTGCAGTGCAGGCGTGGGCCGGACTGGAACCTATATCGCCATCGACACGTGCGTACAGCCCCAGTTGGCATATTGGTGGCTTATCGCATAGCCTTTGGGTTGTGGCGGCGATAGATCTCGGCACGCGCTTGGCGCCGGGTAGCTAGACAAACACTCAAGACATCATTTATTGCCACCGTGCATGTAGGCTGGTGCGCCGTCTTGAGGCTGGTGCCCCCAACCTCGACCCTTGCGCCGTCGTGACGGAAATGCGCCGCGCGCGCAATTTCATGGTCAGTTGCTTGACATTCAAGTCTGCTCATCAGGATCTTCATTTCCAAGTTTACCAGCTCACGTGTGCGTATCTATGGCGGGGAGATCTCAGGTTCAAACTTTGGTCCAGTATCAGTTTGTATTCAAAGCATTGCTGGAAGTCATAAACAAGTATTTGCTGCGCGCTAAGAAAGCGCTTGCCGAAGTCAAGGGCCGCGCTGACGAGGCGGCTCGAGAAGCCGAACGGGCTTTGGAACTCAAGGATATCGAAGGTGGGCAGCGATGCACGCTAGCTCAGCCTAAGGGGCTTGAATTGAATAGCCATAAGCAGGCCTCACCTTCGTTGCCGTGCCCTGCTTCCTTTGACGCGCAGCCGAGCTACAGGAGGCCGAAGACAACTTTGCCAATTTGACCGGCATTGACGAGCAAGTGGAGCAGCTTGTCAACGAATCTTTGGCAAAGCAAGGCACAGGCGTTGCTGCTTCCTCTTCAGCGGACTTTCGACATGCCTATAAACAAGGCAGTGACAAGGTGAACCCGGGCCGAGTTCTGAGTTCCCACGAGTGATCTGTGGTGCCTGGCATGCCACTCACGATGTGCACCCTCGTCCTGGCCTGGCGGCTCGTGTAGGAGGTGGCTTCGAAGATCACACAGAAGCAGCGTTTGGAGAGTTTGATGGATTACATCACATCTGATGAATGGCGCAGTACGTGGCTCTACTTGGCTCGGTATTACGTGCAGCTCGGTCGCTCACATGGTACTTGGTACCACGGGTTTGGGTGACTCGTGTAACAGAGACCGTTGAGGCGCCAACCATTGATGCCAATGCACCCCTGTCCGCGCGCGTGCACTCACTTCAGCGTGAGGTGAGCTGCTTTTCGACGTCGTTTAATCGTGTGTTGGTCCAGCCTTGTTGTATCGGGTTTGATTCTTACGTGTTTTTTGCGGACGCGATCAGGTGAAAAACGCTCAAGAAACCTGGAGGAAAGATTATGCCAACCAAGAGCAAGACTTCTCAGCCAAGCAGGTTTGTGCTCGTGTTGTGGCGTGGGCTACGTCTTCTCGTAGGGCAAGGTCGAGCGACGCAATGGTGTTTTCATATTGTGCGACGCAATGGTGTTTTAATTTCACTTGGCACACAGGCACACGGGGGTGAGGAGTACGACGTGTCTCAATCCTTCACTCCACTCGAGTCGCGCATCCTGGCCCTGGCTCAACAGCGCGAGGTAACATGTCACCCCAACACGACACACACACCCTCTTGAGGGGGCTCTTCAGTTTTTACAGAACAGTCAACTTTATTGGCCGCCCGGACATACTCATACTGTCGTCATGCATGGGCTCTAGGTGATGGCGCTCAAGAGCGATGACGTGCGACGTAAAATGGAAGAGGAGGAGTTTGCTCGCATCACCTCCCTGACTCATCGCATCAAGGTCTGTAGCACATGCTTTCATGTCTTTCTGTTCATCGCGCCACGCTTCATTCTCCGCATGCCGGTCGAGCTGGCTTCAAATCCTCTTATCATTTTGATGCGATTGGTTGATGCCTGGGTGGCTGCTGGTCCCTGTTAGTCACTGGCCTCTGAGCGTCTGGAGGACCGGACCAAGTGGGCTGATCGTCCGCGCAAGTCTGGTACCACGGCAGACTTGGCCGATGGATCTGCCGGCGTGCAGATTGAATCGTTGCGCGAACGCCTGCTCCGTATGGCCATGGCTCGTGATGACTGGAAATCCAAGTACGGCTTTTGGGTCGTGCCCACATTCTCCTCTTCTGCAGTGGTGACCACATACCGCCGTGCATGCCAACGGAACACGGTCTGTGCGATGATTAGGGGCGATTCTTTTGGGCGTGTCGTCGCCAATCCTGTGCAACCGGCTCCACCGGGTCCGAGCTTTGAAGAGATGGAGGCTCAGCTCAAGGCCGAGGAGGAAGCGGCTGAAGCAGCTCACCAGGCAGAGCTGGAGCGCATGCGCCAGGCTGAGGTCAGCTTTTGTGGTCGTGTGTGCGTGTCAAACCTTCTTCTTGACAGAGCGCTTGGCTAATTCACTTTGCTTCCGGGGGGCATAGGAGGAAAGGCGCCGTAACGAGAAGCCTGTGCAGAGTGCCGTGTACGAGCGCAAGGATGCGGTGGTGACACCGCAGGTTCAGTTGCGGGCGGCGCAGAATGGTGCCCAAAAGGGTGGCGCGGAACATCCCATGGTTGGTCAACTGCCGCTGCTCCATTGGACAAAAACCGCGCTGGACTCATGAGCGCCCTGCCCCTTCTCGTAGATTGCAGCAGCAAAAGCAGCCCAAGCGCGCCACCCTCATGCCCGCTCGTAAGTCTTGGGGGAGTTTCGAAAGCTTGAAGCCCTTTCTTTCTGTTCTTGAATGCCCTGCTTAGAGGCGACGAGCGCGTCGTTTGATTTCGAATTGAATTGTAGTGGTTTGCTCCATCCACAACAATCACAAAAGCGCACGGCACTTCTTCAACCCATCCATCCTCAAAGGGTACACCAATCGCCGGGAAAGGGCACTCACTTGTCCAGACAACAAATGAGAAATCGAGAAAGCAACGAACATGAGGTGCGCTGTAGGGCGTCAAGGGGAGTGCCGTGCATTCCTCTTGTCACGCGACCAGGCAGACCAGGCATGACTCAAAAATAGGGTGAGGCAAAAGCAGAGCCTCTTCACCAAAAACAGAATTACAATCATAATGACGTTGGAGCCAAGACCCTCACCGGGCGCGCAGCTCTGGCACGTATATGATATTAACACGACAGGATGTGGAAACACCCTCCAAGGGAACTCGTTTAAAAAGGGGGGAATGTACAACAAACTTCAGCCGCTCAAGGGGCAATAGGAAACACAAGACAGTTGGCCAACTCGGGAATAGCCATCACTGAAACAGATAACGAAATGCTTTGCATAATAGCACTCATCCGGTCGAATGACACACTCGACCAGCAGGCAAGCACCTGATGTGATAGCCCGTCCAGAAAGATTAATGATAAGGGGAACTAGAAAAACAGCCGAGAAGAGACGGTGGGCATCTCGCCCAGGTGGGGAGCCCAGTAGTCCACATGGCTGAGTTCAGGCCTGTCGGGGGTAAGCCCCGTCAAAAGATCGGATCATTGCGAGTGGCCTCATGGGCGCAAAAGACGAAAATAGGCTTGGTGGTGTTTTCGCGCAATCGGATGATCACCGTGCATGTTGCGCAATTCCTCACGAATTTCCGTCACGGTATACTGGATCTGGTAATTCAAACGGGAATACATCCATTTGTGTGAGGGTGCTGCCGTACCTTCTTTCAAGGACGCGTCAGCCGGTGAGAGACAGGGCAGTTGAAACATACCGAACGCTCTGGAATGCGAAAGTGCGAAGCGTAGGTACCCACAGCGTTGATCTAGTAGTCAAGTGCCAACAAATCGAGCAACAAGTCAGGCAAAGAAAGGGTCGGGCTGTGCAAAGGTGAAAGCAGTAAGTCCGGTACAGGCCAAACGCACCAGTTCGCTCTGGGAATACTCGTCTCGTTGATTGGGTCGAAGGGCATCAAGGGCCAGACAGACGGCTGCCGCAGCCACGGAGGCCCTGGAGCGGAAGGAAAACTCGGGGGACAGCATAGCGACGTGGAAATAGAACTGTGTGCAAGCGAGGTCCGAACATAGGTTATGAGATTTGCGCCAGGGGCGGGCCGGTGGACTGTCGGGAACCAAAGCATATGGCATGGCAGCACATCAGCGCTCAATGCTTACTTGGGCAATTTCCTCAGCCACGGGGCTCATTCGCAGCACATTGGCAAACATTTTGACAAAAGTCAAGCCAAAGGGAGCCAGAAGCTATAGGTAATGAGGATAACCGTCGGCGTATATGAGACATGCAAAAGGTGCAGGCATGACTCGGGCGAGCGAGACGGAACGAGCGAGCAAGAGGGGACATACATCTGGAAACTGGCCAATGAGAGAGATTTCGACCATGCGGAATTGATCAGGGTTGTACTGGTCCTCGCACGCGTTGAGGAAGTCGCTCATGGCTGGTACCGATAGCTAGAAACATGACCAACAAGTCACACCCGTCAGCATGGTCAACCACCACAGGTGGGCAAAGGAGAAGAGGATAAAGAAAGTAAAAAGGACGGCATCAAAAGGGCTGGGCATTACCTCTTCCAGCTTGGAGGCGGTCCAACATGCAGCGGCAGCCACCAGTTGCAGTTCGTTGGTCTCAATGTAAATTTCCGAAGCAAATCTGATGGATGTGAGGGGTTTTGGAGTCATGTCGTTAAGCCACTGTTGCGGGGATATCACACATTCTCTCAAGCAGACAAGGGGGTTGCTATTGCAAAGGGTTTGCGCACCGGTCGAATATGTTGATAGCGATATGAATCGTCTCATTTTCGAGGCGAAGGCTTGCCTGCAGACAGAGCACGGGGTGATGATGAGGTGGAATTGCGGCAGAAATACACGAGAGGCCTGAGCAGCGACTTTTGTTGCGGCGAATCATTTAAAAAAAAAAAAAAAAACACACACAACAAAACAAAAAACAACAACAACAACAAAAACACACATTTATTCAAAGATCCAGGAGACAAAGGCAATGGACCACAGACCTGAAGCTCAAACAGCCAGCTGATAATGATGCGACGCTGGTGTGAAGTCATGTCACCAACGACGGCACCACGGGGACGAAATGTGGGCTGGAAACATAACGGGAGAGGGGGAAGGATGGCATAGGTGAGTGGCGAGATCTCAAGGTGCGTCACAGATACGCAGGTGGGCAAAGGGTGTGCATGTGTGTGAGCGTGTGTGAAAAAGAGAGAAGGGGAGAGAGTGTATGAGAGAAAGAGAGAGGGGAGGGCACACCTCTTCTCCGAGCAGGGCGGTAAAGATTTGTGTTTGGTTGACGCCATTGAGGGTGGCACGACCGGCATCATGGATCCAGTGGCGCACGGGGGGTTCGTTGGCCGCTTCGGGCGCGGGGGCCACGAGGCGCGGGGTAAAGTGTGGGGCGTTGTTGTTGCCCTCGGCGGGGGGTTGGCGGTTGATGGCATTTGAATCTGGTGTCAGCTGCTGGGAAGCAGAGAGTTGAGCCGTTTGGGTGACGGCGGGGACTTGAATGTTGGCCACCATCTTGGCCAAGAGTCGGGCCCGGTCATCAAGTCGTGAGTCTTGAACCTCTGTCACAGCCACGGCCACGGAGTCGCTGGTCGTCGCGACGGGAGCGTCCTGCGCAGCGGTTGGGGTAGCGGTAACGTGTTGGTGCTGTGAGGAGGGCTTGGCTGTAGTTTCATCTGTACCGTGACTTGAGCCAAAGGAAGCATGACGGCGATCCAAGGGGACAGCACGGCTGCAGAGGGGGGTGCGGTCGGCCGTGGGGCGTGAAGCAGTTTGATGTGAGCTGGCCTGGTTGTTTGTAGGTTGACTGACGGCACCAGCATCGGGATCAATCTCTTGCTCGGCGACCCTCTGTGGGGAGGGCGCGGTGATTGGGGCAGTTTTGGCGCGCTTGGCTCGTGGGGTGCCATTGCAGGTGACGTGATCAGTGTCAGACCCGTTTTGTGCCGGGTTTGAAGATGACGAGGCACTTTGTCGGCGATGAGGCTCGTTGGTTTTGTCAGCGAGGGGCTGGGCAGCGCCGGGGGTAGACGATGCCAAGTTGGTGTGACGGCTGGTGGAGGCAGAAGGGTGGGTCGTTTTCAGGTCCAAAGATCGGGCAGCAGTTGCATCGGGGTGACGGGGGACGAGGCGCGCTTCATTCATTTCGGGACTGGCGTTGGATTCTGTGCTTAGGATGGCCTCATCCTCGTCGTGAGGTCGAGGGGAAGGGCCAAGGTCATCAGTCGAGTCGGGCGATGAGCTGAGACTGCGTTCGACGTAGGGAACAAAGGAAGAAGAGGCACTGGTCTCCATGATGATGGGGCGGGGCGAGAGCTTTTGTGCCAAATGTGGTCACCAGCTCGCGCGCACACACACACACACACTGGCTGGAATGAGACGGGGGTTGAACTGGCGTCAGCGCAGCATGCATGGGGGGGCAGCGGCAAGCTTGGTGATCAAGGCGGCAACTCAAGCACCAAGCCAAACGTCTAAACGTGCGCAGGCATCGGGTGAATCAAAGGCAGCAGCACGATCAAACGACACCACCACCAGCTGCACAGACAAAGAGACAGAGAGAGAGTGAGAGAGAGAGAGATTTAGAGAGAGATTTAGAGAGAGAAAAGAGAGAAGGAGAGTGAGTGTGGCAAGGAGAGAGAGAGAGAGGGAGAGAGAGAGAGAGAGAGAGAG